AACAAAAACAAATAAAAAAGTGGGACTATTTGAAACACTGATAGATTGTGTAGAGACTGCATTTTGTTTCCGCACAAATCCTTTTCATTAAACACTCCGTGCTTTGTTCCCTCACAATTCGTCTACGCTAGTCACCATGTCAATCTGCTAGTACTGTCGGAAGGTGTTCAAGCTCTTTAAGCTAGCATTAGCCGCCCTCGTCACTTGTATTGTTAGCGAATGCAACGCTTGTGAGTGCGTCTAATAAAGGAACACGTACTCTAGAACGACAGCTTCGTTCCTCTCTCACTACGCTTCACTGCGCAACAACTTGCTTCACAGCATAACACCAATATATTGCAAAACCATTTGTAAAGGACCGAATACGACACAGCGTTTGAATTGCCAAGATAACGGCCCCCACACTAGATGTGCGGAGAACATTTGAACCGGGTCATCTTCTTGAATAACCCGCAGCCACATGCACACACGAGTCGCGTCGAAGATAAGGTGAAAGATGAATATAAAAAAATTTTAGGTTACTAAATTAGCTGAGTCGCTCGAACTGAAGGTTTAGTTATGCACGACAACGCTCAGGAGCAGCGCTGCGTGCCGTAGAATGGCGTGTATGTTGATTGTCGTGAAACTGCAATCAATAATGGTGTGCTTATCGTGTCAGCCGTGATGCATACAAGAAAGGCGACCATCCATAACCACGCAAACCACCCTTAATTACTATACAAAAAACCGCATAATTTGTCACTGCTTTTATCTTTCAAAAGTATGCACACTGAGAGAGCGGATCCCAATTTATGCAGCTTTACTGATGTAGTAAGCTAATTAGTTAACTTATTTGCTAGGATAATTTGTTACTTCAATAGTTAATTAGTTTGTTGTATGGTTGATTAGTTAGTTGTTTGGTTAGTTAGTTAGTTAGTTAGTTAGTTAGTTAGTTAGTTAGTTAGTTAGTTAGTTAGTTAGTTAGTTAGTTAGTTAGTTAGTTAGTTAGTTAGTTAGTTAGTTAGGTGTGTCTCAAATATGTTGAAACGCAGGTTTACTGAGGTGAATGCGTACCCCTTCGGCATAAATGTTGCCGCTTGTGAAACGAGTGCGCCCGCAATACCAGGCTTCTCCGCCTAAAGCGTCTTATTGCGGCGAAGCAAACATATACAAATAAAACGATTTAGAATGTTTTACATTCCGCGCCACCATGGCTCCGAGTGGCGTTCGTTGACACTCCCTTGGTTCAGTGGCGGATCCAGTGGGGGGCGGTAGGGCCAATCACCTCCCCCCAATCTCTGTCACCCTTCCCCTCAATTCAGTGCTTGTAGTCCCCCTCCTATCACCGATTAGGACAAATGAGTGAAACCACTGTGAGCACACATTAACAGTATATATGATGCGAAGGAGTTTTTGTACTAGTAAAAACAAAAAATAATGACCCTGCCTCCCTTTTCGGTGTTACATAAGGCGATCCCCCCCCCCCCCCCACACACACCTAAAATGAGTGGCTGGATCCGCCCTTGCCTTGGTTGCACGTGCATAAGTACACCAGAAAGTAGATGGGGCGATCAGGAAACGCCGTGACACAATTGGTAGTAGTGCATTACCGTATATATATATACTCGTGCAATCACCGCAGCTTTCTTTCTGAGATTTGGGGTGAAAATCGCAGGTGTGGCCAATACACAGAGAAAAGGACACTTTTTTTTCATACATGCTTTTAGCGTCATATGCCTTTATTTAACGGCAGTACACCTTTGTACTGGTTAAAACGAAAACCAACCTTTGTTAGTTTTACGAGGTTGCAAGAATGTTGCTCTGCGCCATCGTCGTTCTTTTGACTCGTCGCATCCACAATCCCGCCTCTGTACCACATGAGGTCGTCTACCACTCCATCAAATTTTTTGAGGTTCACTTGAACTTGAAGTTTTTCTCTGCCGTATTGAATGCAACCCTGCCACACTCTTTGTAAACCCAGTGTCCCGCATCCAAGAGGGATGTCCTCTTCAGGCATCCTGACGGTGATGCTTGGTGAAGAGCAGCGCCTCCGAGACAACCGCTAAATCTCAGAGGCTGCGCTTTTTCTACATAGCGACACCGAAGACTACGGCAAGCATGCCTTGTCTTTTCTGAAAAAAAAAATTACATCACAATGAATAACCATGCTTAGTTTCTAAAAAAAATAGGGGCGGCTAATACACGGGCAATCACGAAATATAACTTTGGGGAGGATTCTTTAACAAAGTTTGGCGGGCGGCCATTGCCCGAGTACATACAGTACATGCACAATGCTGATGTTTTTCGTATGGCACCCGCCTACTACAAGTTGTTTCTTTTTGTCGGCTTTGGTTTCGCTTTATCGCACGATTGTCGCACTTCAGATAATAAATATAAAATACTGCCTCATATACGCTTCCTTTGGCAAATCCAACTTCTGGCATGGAGAATACATACATATTCCCCGAAGAGGCATAGTTCCCTTCCGGTTCGCTCGGCAACCTGTAGTAGCCACTCACACAGATGTCAAAGCTCAGCCGGATGTGTGGGCGTATTGACAGATGGCACTGCGCTCTTAATATTAATTGAAATAATTAGTGGTGGTGGTGGGATATACTATTATTTCAAATACGCGGCCCACCCACTCACCTCCTGTTCATCTTTACACTATACATATAGAGACCTTTTAACAGCAGACTCTCTGGGCGCCGCCATTTTCCTCCGCTATAAACAAACACCCCCCCCCCCCCACCCCCCGCACACACCCACCCACCCACCCAGACGCACACACACACAATGCACTGCCAATATTGTGACGTCAGCCTTTACACTCTCGCGCGCAGCCCGGCATGGCAGCGTTTTTTCTCACCTGTGAAAAAATCTATACCAACCCTAGAACTGCCAATATGAAACATGGCAATATTTTATAGAGAATGCCCATTTCGCGAAATTTAACTAAATACTATCGGTTGATATGGTTGGCGATACATCATATACTAGCAGGTAAACACGATTGCTTGCTATCGAACATCAGGGAATACTTGTAGCAATCCGCTACAACCAACCACGCTGTAGAAGTCATGCCTTAATTTCGCCTTGGCCAAAAAAAGTGTTGAAGCAAGGAGGGGGGGGGGATTCAGCCACTCATTTTAGGGGGGAGGGAGGCGGTCATTTGAAGTTAAGCCAGCGATGAAGGAGAGGCGTCCTGATTTCACTTATTTTCCCTAATCGGTGATGGGATATCCACGACAGGCACTGAAGGGAGGAGGTGGAGGTGCTGACAGAGTCTTTTGATAGTGGTGGTCGGTGGGGGGGGGGGGATCGTGTCAGCCACCTGCCCACCGGATCCACCACTGGCCGAAGGTATGCTCATTGAACCCAACGCAGTAAAGCACTACGACCACAACGCGACCATTACTGCAATTACTCGAAAGAAACAAAGAGACAGTTTTGCCAAAAGGGCGAGCAATGAATTCGATAGCAACATATTCGAATATTTTACGAAGGAAGGCTCACTTACTAAGAAACCAAATTTTTTGCGACGTAGCCACAGCAGATGACCACAACAAGGCTCGTGCGTGTGTATGTATATATATATATATATATATATATATATATATATATATATATATATATATATATATATATATATATATATATATATATATATATATATATATATATGTATGTGTGTGTGTGTGTGTGTGTGTGTGTGTGTGACGGTGGCGGCGGCGACAAAAAACAAGCAGACTGTCCATATATTTGAAAAAAAAAAATACGACACTTGAGTAGTGGTAAAGATTGCACAACTGCGCAACAAAGCAAACCACAAGCGTTAAGGTTAAGCGATAAAGTTAAAACATATTCTTACAAGTTCATCCGCGTGGAAGATGTGACCAGTTCCTTCTGCTAATCTCCGTCGAAATAGCTGTCACGCTGCAATGGAGCGACGCACTTCCCCCACTTACATCCTCCCTCCATGCGCCTTGCGCGACGCAGGCGGCCGGCACGTTTTACCTCTGCTTCAGCCTCGACCACGACAGTCTTCCCACGCATTCACTGTCACACAGAACGCCCAATGTGCAAGGCGATTTCATCAATGTGTATTTTATGAGGAACGTGACGCGGAACCGACGGCGAAAATCAATTCAATGGTTATCGCAGTCGTAAATGTATTACAGCAGCAGGTGTGGCACTGGCTGCCTAAAATTAGTTGCGGTGATGGCGCTAGTCTAACGTTAGTTGTGGTGGCGGTGCTTAGTGAACAGCTTTGCTGCGCATTTCTTACGGAGCGGAATGGACGTCGATTTTTTTTAAATGAGAATACTGATCGCACGCAACCGCGTTAATATTGCTATAAATGGCTTCCCCTCCGAACTCCACTTTCTCAACCATCTTGCCGTTCATAGAAAGACTATTTGCGTGCAGTGCGTTGCTTCGTTTCCGTTGCGCTAATCATTTAACTCTGGTGTGTCCTCGCTTAACGACATCGTGAGTTACTTATGTGAGGGTATACGCGAGAAAGTAGCATTAACGAAGTAACACTCGGCTGAAACATAGCAACACATGCTTGATTTAGGAATAAGCTAGTAAGAAACTGCGTGCCCAGTACGTACGTAAGAAATCACGTTCGCAATATAGAAATCCCGTCCTAAACAGATTATGTATCACTCTTCTCTCATCAGATCATTGCCTATAGCATCTCTCGCTAGATGATTGCCTTCTTGATTTCGCGGAGTGAGGGGCACCCCCTTGAAATGGCCACGCAAGTGTCGAATCTGTCGGGAACAAGCGTATCTGCAGGGAAGCTAGACAGTCAAGAATGACGCGTTGTAGAAAACATACGTCAGCGTGTGTCGTAAACTGCGATCCCTTTCTTAATTGAGATTCTCGGGCACGCTAGTGATGCTGTGTGTAGGCACGTGGCGACGCCCTGTGGCGAGAAGCGCATCTGATTCGAACGCCGATCCTTAATTTAGTTATGTCAGCTATCAAGCAGCAATTTGTCGTTTGATGGCGACACACAGCTGTATAATACGTTTATATGCACGCGTTGCTGTAAGTGCTGTTGCGCGTCCAGCCCTGTGCCAATCAGCCAGCGCGTTGGTATACCTTCGTGCAGGACCAAGGGGCTGTGGCGGCCCCTCAGCGCGGCGGAGGCCGACCGCTGTGGGCGCTGTCCGATAAACCGCTGGCTGTGAGGCCGTCGGCCAGGATGCACGACTTCAGCACGCGGTGGTAGCCACTGCTCAAACGAGGACAGGTACGTTTGGTTTTGTAGGTTCTTTTGAATCGAGGAGGATTAATGAAAAAATTGCTGGAGTGAAAGCTCCCGCAATCCCTTGCCGGCAGAACTGAAGCCACCTTTCACCACTGCCGCGATGGCGGAAACGTGCTCTTTTTTGATAGTGCCCAGTTAAAGATCAAGTGGCTTTGATATGTTATGTAAATGCTACGTTAGTTTTAAATCAAAACATAGTTGTTCCCGATGAACACACAGAAACGAGAATAGATGACTGATTCTTCAAAGAACTTTGCCTCCTATTAGAAGCTCACTAAGAAAAACTAGTAACTGTAAGACGCACTTCGAGTACTATGTGACCCAAAAAGTTCCCACATTAAGCTCGTTGGGCATGCGAGGTAAACACTTCGTTTTTGATCGCTGAATGGTGATTTGTTATGCCCCTAGTAAGATGGCCGCCACAACTGCCAATTTGTCAGAGGAACAGTTTTACTTCTTCGCAATTATTTTCTCTCCAGCAATATTTTTAATCCTCCTTGACTTGAATATGAAGCGTGGGCAGCGTTCCCTTATTTTTAAGAAGGAGAGGCGGGAGAAAGTTCGTTGCAGCATGCCCTATATATGGCGCAGACCTTGCGCCCCCCTCTCAGTTGACTAAGGCGGGGGGAGGGGCATTCTGCCGCCCCCTCAACCCCTTGCTTACGCTTATGCGTGTGAATAGTGGCGCTAGCAAGAGGATGCGTGCTTTCGTCCGCGCGCGCCAAAACATTGGGCACTTTTCCACTTTTTTTTTTCTTTCTAACGCGCGGCTTGCTTATGCCGCGGCGTATGCGCGGGCACGTGGCGGCACCTCGTGGTGGCCGTCGTAACCACATAGCCCACGATGCTGTAATCGGTCACTGTCTGTGGACTATGGGTTTGTGGCATCGTTTATAAATAGACGAGGACGCTTTGTAGCCTAATGAAAACTGCAAATTCTATGCCGCGTGTGGCGCCGTAATGTTTAGCTCACGAGTTCTCGGGAGACTGGACTTTCGAAAGGCAGCACTTTTCGATCATGCTGAAAAAGTGTTGCAGGGCCCCCTGAGGGGCCCTACAACATTTCTATATATATATATATATATATATATATATATATATATATATATATATATATATATATATATATATATATATATATATATATATATATATATATATATATATAGGGTGTGTCAAGAAATCTGCCCAATTTCATTTAAAATATACAGAAAAGGTGGCATCTGCGTGTTACCTGCGGGGTTATCATTACTGTAGGAGGAAGCATCTTCAGATGCACACAAACATTGTTTACGACAGTAATTACAGATACTAAAACATTTGACAATTAAAGCAGTGGAAATAGCCATTCGAGCCTAATGAGCGAATTCAAGTCCTAGTTGCGAATAGTTCATAGCGACATTGGAATTTTTTAAAGGTGGTCAATGGTAATCATGGCGGAGCGCTGAAGTTCATGTTGTCAAACTTGAGTTCCCACAACACTGACCGCCAAGCTAAGTTGCTTCACATTAGGAAATTGGGAAAGTGCGCTGTGGCACTGGGAATAAAACCCAGTACATCCCGCATTGTATGTGGACGTTATAACTATACGACCACGACTTCAGTTTCACCCTTGGGCGCTGCTAAGATATTGTCTAGAGAGAGAGAGAGGAGGAGGGTAGGCACTGCTATTACTCTGGCGTTCCTCTTCACTCTGCTGTGCAGCACGCCCCGCTTTTCACCTCCACATTATCATGTTATCTTTACACCTCGAAAGCTTCACCCCTGTCCTTGCATCTGTCCGATGTGCAGAGCACGATAGGATCTTATAGCGGCCGGATTTTGCACAGAACATCACAGCGACTACAGTTAGCCTGGAGCGCCCTGAAAATTGCTATAGCAATAAACTGCCAAACATGTATTCAGCTGTAGGCATCTGACCATACACAGATTGATGATATGGTGAAATGCATGGCGTTGGCCCTATGGAAAACAGGATATTGCAGACCTTGAAAGCAGTTTCAGGACGCAGGCCTTCTTTTGTATCTATTCATCCAACGATTGCAAACAATGCAGTCCCACTTTTTTTGCCAGCCACGATGGCTCTCATTATAATAGATATACTGATGCATGGCTCTTAGTGTGTGATCTTTATGGCGACGTTATGCAACATCATGCACATTTTTTTTAGTTAACAGTGGCAGCAAACTACGGAAAGCAGGTTGTATGACACAAGTCACGACAAATCGAGATGTTTCGTCATCTCTAAACAAGGACACACGTTTATTTCAACACGCATCGTCGCTTTTTTATTCCTCCTTTCAGGACGCAGTCAACACGTGGTCGTCGGGGTGGTAGACCTCACTGAGCAGCCTGTAGACGTACGATGGGGCGTGTCCACCGGCGCTCGTCACCAGTAGTGGGACGAGGTCCGGCGGCACGCAGTCAGAGGCTGGGTTGAGCAGGAGCGCTCCAGAGCGAGGCTCCGGGCCGAGGGGCTCCGGGGATCCCAGCTGCTGGTAGGTGCTCTCCGAGCAGGGCAGCTGCGGACTCAGCGTGGCCCCCGGTGCGCACACCAGCAGCGGAACCGCGCAGTGTCGCGCGGCCAGGGCCAAGGCGTGGCTGCCGCAAGGAGCCTGTCGCGTACAACAGCAACCACATAGCATCCATGCACTTCGAGGTGCGGTGAATCGCCGCCGCCGCCATCACCATCATCATTATCACAACTTATTTACATCTGCTGCAGGACAAAGACCTCTCACAGTGTTCTCCAGTTTACCCTATCCTGTGTCCTGTGGGAGCTGATTCCATTTTATCCTGACGAACTTCTTAACAAAACAATGAGGTGGTCCTGACGAACTTCTTAACAGGACAATGAGGTGGAACAACAAATTAGTTTAGGCTGAGAAGCTATGGTCTGCAAACTCGTGTCATTGATTTTACTATGGTAGGATCAGTTATAACAATCAAACCTCAATATAACAAACATGGATAAAACTGATATATCGGCTATAACGAAGTAAGTGAAAAATAGTTTTGCAATAGATACAGTGCTAGGAATAACTTTATACAGCAAATTTTTGGATATTACAAACTTATTTTCTAGTAAAGTGCAACTTTGTTATGATGAGGTTTGAAGTGCAGTCAAGAAAGCTAATTTCAAAAGTTTCACTCTTAAATTTCTTGCAGAAATTTCCAACATTGGCATCATAGATATTGTGGTTTTTCTTTTCTTCATATTTTATCCCTATTGGCTCAGTGGCGTTCCCTGAAACTTGACGTGTTAAGTCTCTGCTTGCCTTGGGAAACAATGTGCTTTGTGTTTTCTTTTTTTTTTTATCAAATAGCAAGTATTACGTAGACTTTAATAGGAGCCACCAAAACATACACGACGTGGCGACGTCCTGAAGTGGAAACTTCAAGGTGGTGCTTCCGCCCGCTTCTTCTTTCCGCACATTTTCTCACTCACCGAGCGTTTTTTTGCAGCAGAAATATTGTTTTTGGCATCGTGAAATGGGAGTTTACTAATACGAGAAAAATCATTTACTCTTTAGTGTCCCTTTAAATTCGTCATTGTATCCAACTCTTCGACTTCCTCGACTGCATTTCCCCATGCCCTCAGAACCATTCTGTTGCTCTTACACTCCACCCCTTGTCAGTCCAACACATTACGTGGCCAGCCCAGGTCCATTTCTTTCGCTCGCAGTCAAATAGAATACGTGCAACACCTCCTTGTTCTCTGACTGATTCCAATTCTTCCATTCTCCGATCTCTTATTGTTACTTCTATAATTTTTCATTTCACCACACACTGCGGGGTTCTCGACTTATTTTACAGTTGCTTTGTTACTATCTAAGTTGTTATCCTCCAGCTGGTATGCTGGTAAGACATAGGGAGATTAGAAAACATAACACGCGTGGCCACAGCTATGACTTAGGCAGTGCAGCCACTTTTGTTGGAATGGAAGAAAGAGAGAGATACTTTTGCGGTTACACATTTTACACTTTCTATCATCATCTCACACTGCTGTTCAGAAGCAATACATAAATTTTTTCTGGAGCGAACCATCTTGTTTCGTTTCACTATGTGCTTGGAAGTGTTATCTTGTGCCATTCGTTGCAGTGCCACAGCTCTGTGTAGTAATGCCTTTTAGGCTTTTAATATTAAATAAATAAAATGGAATCTCGAAAGAGTGACATGAAAGCTAATTGGGAAAGAATGCAATATTTAATTCAATTAAATAATGCTAACACTATTTGAAGCAAAAGAAGCATGGCAGCTGTCATAAATGTCACAATGCATTTACGTATATAGAGTAATATGGTTCTTTGTGTTTTTAACACACATTTATTGAGAATGTGCAACAAGCACGTCAAACTTGTAAATTGCTTTCTTTTGTTCGTAAGCAATGTGTGTCTTAATGATGCAATTTTTTCAGTCAAGTCTGACTGCTACGTGACCTCCCCGTCTCGCCAACGATGATGTTCATACAATGCCCCAGTTCTACAATATTGCAGTAAGCGATGGGCAACATTGCCTTTATTTGTGTTAAGAGCGGATCATACTACAGTACAGAGGTGCCATACTACACTTTTAGACACGCTTCCCAGCATGGGAATCCCGTCATTTGAAAGGCCACCTCTCAAAAGAAGATATGCTGCTCCAATGGTCATTCCTAAACTTTCTTTGAAGAAAAGTTTAATGCCATATCTAGGATGATGCAGTCATTCGTATACATCAATAATGTCCCTTGATTACTTGATAGCAATAGTTTCTCATAAATCATATTTCGTACCCATTCACAAGAGCTGAAATGGTGACGTTTATATATTGTAATCAGAAACTCGCAGTACTGATAATTACACAGAAGCGCTGAAATGAAATAGGGCTACATTTTACGAGAAACTCCTCAAAACATTTCCGGTCACTTCTAAGTTACAAGCACTTTCACTCTCTTCTCGAAGGGTGCGAGAGTGAAGGGCAACTCCTTGTAACTGGATTAAATATTTATAATAGCTACATTTATCCCTGAGAGGCAACGCTACTTCAGCAAAAAAAAATCACAAGTCCTTTCATGCATGCATGTGAAACTATTTATAAACTTTATACATCTTTAATTACTTCAGACTGTTTCATTTGGATGGCCCTGTATGTGAAGTAGAAAAGCAGCGTTGGCACCAAGCTGATGTTTCCTTTCAAGAATTCGGGAGTGCGTGATTCCCAAGGTGTAAGTTACATAGCTGGCATCGCAACGCACGATGGTGACACAAGCCGGCCCAGCCCCGACATAGTCGTTCTCGAATCGGCTCACCTGAAGGCCACCGTCCGCCAGGACACAGTCCGTACCAAGGATCACTTTGCTCACCCGAGGCATCAGAGCCAAGATGGACTGAGTCGGGAACCAGGGTGGTCGCGATGCCCACACGTGCCAAGGACTCTGCGAGCTGGACGCCTTCGCAGCGCGGTCCCCCCTCTGCCACCAGAACCTGTTGGTGTTGGACACACGATACTTGAAAACTCGCAAAAGTGTACACAGACGTGGCTTTGTACTCTTGCTAAAGAGAACCTGAAGGAACCAAGAAGATATGTTCCAACAGGAGTGAGAGATGAACAGGGGTGCAGAATTGAAGTGCAAAACCAATCATATTAGAGGTGGCTATTTCATTTAGGGAGCATTTCCATTTAAGAGGTTGCCATTCACCCAGAATCTACTGTCTAAAAAATCCTTACAGATGTATCTACTGTACACCGTGTTACTGACAAAAATATTTTTCATTTGCTCCATTATAAATTATAACTCATTATATCTGTATTCGTTGCATCGAAGTTTCACTGTACAATGGCTATAGATGTCGAGCATGACTGGGGTTGTAAGTGAAAGCGAAAGTTTTATTGAAGCAGAGGAGCTGGCCAAATGCTCTCGACTGCAAGCAGCAGTGTTAAGTGAATGTGCTTCTGCAAAGATCTCCAGCAACACGACATTGGTAGCGAGGCTTGTGCACCGGCAAAGATCTTCAGTGAAAAGTGAGCAATCATCTTGACGCTTTTGGCAGAGACGCTTGCTTAAGTGATGGAAGACAAGAAACTACATCGTATGTTATTAATTACACAAACCTTTAGGATATGGGCAGTTGTGCCTTCATGACAGCTGATGTGTAAATTACGGCCTGAGCATGAGTTAATGTATTAAAGAGAAAGACAACTTAAACACGGTGTCTGTGTGTTATGTCACCCTGGTCATTACTGGCATGGACAACAGCACTGAATTGGTTATGGTGAAGCACTTCTATTAACTGAATTTCACTTCACATGAAAATCAGTTGCCCAGAAGCCCCTGAAAGGGTGGGTGATAATGTTTACTTTTCACGAACCTTAATTCGCAATGTCAGTTTCACGAAACCGGTTTGCAAGACTCGTCTGTGAGATTTGAGTTGTTGGTGAATCCACTTTAGCACTGCAACACGCTAAAACTGGAAAAGCAACAGTCCTAAACCCGAAAGATTTTTTTTGTAGGCTGAGGAGCTTTATTCAGTTTCCTTTCTAGCTCACTGCTCAACAGCTGGACTTGAGAAAGGTGTCTTGCTGGGCATGTTAATGTATCATGGTGGAAAACAGCACAAGAAATGACAATCGGAAAAACCACCACACATACTCGGCGTGAAAATGTGCTCACAATAAGGTGAACGCAAGCGTTTGTTGTTTCAAGGCTAGGCCTAACAACAGATGAGTGTCCATGTCGCTCTCTGCTGTCTCCAGTTCTCAGATGCCTTAATAGATGGCATAGCTGCCTCAGTTGAGGACTAAACAGAAGCTGCAGAGAGAGTCAAGAAAGGGTGGCTTGAGTGTGCTTATAGCGTAAGGTCACTGTAGCAGGGGCTGTCACATATCCTTTTTGTGCGTGCCTACTCTACAAATAATGTAATCAATACACCCACACAAACTCACAAAACACCTGAAAATCACAAGGGAAATACAGGAGATCGATGTCTCTGTTGATTTGACAATGGGTGGAACTGGGGTAACTTTATTTTCTTTAACACTTTGGTTTGTGCCATCATCCGTACCTGAAATGTGCGCTGGTTCTGGGCAGCCCTTTTGAGAAAAGCCTCAACGGTGCGCGACCTTCCTTGGGTAAGGAGCAGGTCTCCGGACTGGATGTGCTCGGGGCCCTGGGCAGCCACGTTCTCCGCGCTGTGTCGCAGCTCGCGTTCGAGCTCGTCGAGGCTATCGAGCAGCTGTTCGCGCAGACCGGGAAGTGGCCGCGTGTAATCACTCACCGATTCGTCACGAGCCAACAGCAGCTTTTGCAACGAGTCCCTGTCTGCTTCAACCTGCGGGTTGCATCACAAGGATTTTATTTTCACTCTTCGCTGGTCGCAAAACTGCGAATGCTCCTTTCATTCAGTGCTTGATAAGAGAAATATCTGTGACACCTTCTGCACAATTGTTACATCATCATTTATAATATGTCTAATTAGACTAATTAGATTGCTGAGCAAGCAGACAAGTGCATGGATGAAGGCAAATGGCATTTGTGTTGTTCGTTTGTTTTCACTTGTGTTCATGTCTGCCTGCTTAAACTTTCTTTCAATAATGAAAAATCTAAACTGTTACTACTCCACTTAATATTTAGCAGGCAGTATTATGCTACAACAATCTTTACCACGTAGCGAATATTGTAAAATGTGGCCTTACGGCTGCGCGTGCCTTTCAATGCCTCGAGTATGCAAAACAGTACTATGTTTTGGTCTCGAGTCTGAGCGGTGCATGATGGCGGCTAGTTGCAGAATCGTGACATAGCCTTTAATTAACGGTCAACAAAAGAGACACTTCTGTCACATTCCCCATAATTAGTACATCATGTTTTGTAGCATAGAACTAAGAGTCTAAACATTACATTGAATTTATAATACGCACCCACACCTCTCGTTCAGATGATGTGGAAACTTTCAGCCACAAATGCAAGCACTCAGTGAAATCTCTCAAGGCTTCAAAGCACTGCTTGTTACAAGCAAAAACACAGTACTGTGCTTACTTATAAGCATATGAAGGGTTGGCACGATTATAGACTCTCTGAAATACACATCACTTATAACGAAGCTCAAGAAGGCTCCGTTAGCATGTAGCTTGTAACGCAGTTTGATACAAGTATATGTGCTAAAGGAAACCAGAAATGCACATTGCATAATTGCCAGATAAGTAGGCTTTTTGTCTTTACAATGGTGTAAGTACAAGGAAAGAATTAAGAAAACGGCCACACTTCGTTTAGAAAGGAAGAACTCAGTGACACGACCTGTGATAACTCGGCAATACTTCGATGCCCACAAGCTCCATCCAGCGTGATCTCAATTCGTGGTTTATGAAGCGCAGATTCTGCTGTCACATTTTTCGTGAACTTTTAAGCACAAAAGCCCTGGTTTGCCCATTCACTTATGACGCGGCTGTGCAGTGGAATGTCCTTGAAAGGCCGATCAACCAAGTACGACACAAGCGTAAACTGGATTCTGAAGTGTAACTTGGGAGTGATCAGGCCATTACGGCACGAGCATTCGCAAGGGGTTGCAAAATGGGCACTTGCCTCCTTTAAGCCACAACAGTGATCTCCCAGCTGCTGCCTCAGCCAAGATGCAACACAGGTTAGCACTTCCCAAGGCGAAACAGTGCCAATGCCTATGCATTACGGTATACCAATTTTCAGCCAAAAACGTTGCCTGGCGGACCAACAATCCCAACTGCCGTATCCCTGAACAGTCCAGCTAATCTAGAATTCAACACATCATCAACGCAAGGGAGCTAATCATGCGACGCCGGTGTCTTAAACATTAGGTAAAACAGTCGTTTAGCCGCAGTGGTTATGGTGCTCGGATGCTGACCCGAAAGAACCGGGTTCGATCTAGGCCGAGGTGGTGAATTGCTAGACGGTCGAAATGTCCGGAGTCACGGCGTCTCTCGTAATTATACTGTACTTCCGCGACGCGAAACCCCAGATATCATCACTATTATTACCTGGTGACCTAGGATGGCACTGGCGTACTCGTCGCGTATAAGTCGCAGCACACGGCGCACAACGTTTGCACTGGGCGACAAGGGAGCGAGGTTCTTGCCGCGGGCCCGCACGAGGTCCAACAATTCCTGCGCCTGCTGCCACTGCTCTTCGCGGACTAACCGCACCAGCCCCGTAAGCGTGAGCCGGGCCTCCGCTTCGGCGTCCATGCCGAGCAGTTGTGGCAAAGCCCGTACGAGCCGGGAACGCTGTGTTCTGTGGAAGTCTCACCAAGCACTTCCCAAGAGCGCCGGCTGGATTGTTCTCGTCTCACCGATCAAAGCAATATTATTGCCCAGAAAGTTTCACAAACGGTCCGAGAACCCCGGTATGAGATGTTAAACGAAGGGCGACAACAAACTGAGAACTGGGTGTCGTTGGGTAAATCACGCTTCACGGCATGATTTCACCTACATATGGGTGTTCATCGATGCAAGCCATGCAGATGAACGTGTATAAATCAACCGATCTTGGCTAGGATATTGTTGGCTTATGCCTAACAACATAGCCGGCATGCATTGGCATTGAGGGGCTGCCAGTCGTGCTGCGAGCGAATGTCAAAGCAATTAAAGTGCGGTGAACGTAATTGTCATTTGTTGTCAGGCACGTGGTACTAATCCAAACGTTTAGTTATGAGCTTTTTGTAAGCTTTTTGTTTTGTGCGTCGTGAATTATGTTCGGTTGTACCGCTTTCGCTTTTCATTTGGAAGCCGCCATCTTACAGTCCTTGTGTTTTGTTTGTTTCGGAAGCGAGAGATACCAGAGATACCGAGCTAGTTTACAGTCGTGTAAAGTCACTTGCGCCGTTATACCTATTGGCGCGTTCGAAACGCCTTTCTAAATCAAAGCTTTGAGCGAGTAGAGACGAGGCGTGCGTGAAAAAGACTGCCGAACCGGTGACAATACGGTCCCACTGTTTGTTTTTCCGCGACCCACGTTCGATACGTACCTGTCTCCAGCTGACTGCACCACCCGACCGCGGTTCAGCTCAGCTTAGCGAGAGCCTTGGAGAGGAAGGGAGAAGGAGACCCGACATGCCATCGCGATTTCTCCGGCGCGATGGAGGCTTCTGAGAACTGACAACTGTGCATCGACGTGCCACTGCTAGTCGTCAGTTGAAGCGCCTTAGCAACAGCGACCGACGCAACTTTCGGGCAAGTTGTAAAACCTGCGTGCGCTCGCATCGGTCATTCCTTCGCTGTTGTTGAGGCCTAAGGAACAACCCGTGAAGCCCTCGCCGCTGTGTTTATCTTTTTTTTTTTTCGCCCTGTCGTCTTTTCTTGTTTGCGTTCTTTTCCTTAACGTCGACTCTCGTGGCAGGACGCGCAGTTAGGTAAACGCGCAGCAGCGTCTAAATTCAATCAACCAGTGTATTCGCGGCCGTAAATCCGGCCTGCTCCAACGAAACCGTACGCATTGGCTTATGGTGCTCAAGCTTTTCTTTATTATGCTCATTGTTACAGCCCCGTGCCTTGCAGCTGGTTGCATCGCGCTGTATCATGTGCGTCTCTCTCTCTGGTGGAGGCGTCGTTGAAATGCGCAGTGAGTCTTTGGTTAGATTTAAACTTTGCGCCTCGCGTCTTCGGTGCCGATTATCTGCGAAATTGCCCTGTACCATTGCATGCCATCTCTGCGCAGTGTCAAGGCCTTTTCTAAATACTGCGTTTCAGTCCGATATGGACAGTTTCTTCCATCGATTTCTTCTCAGCTGCCCCGTACGTATCCACCGTGCCGTATATTTTTGTGTATGTGCAGGTGTAATGCGCGTTCCGGTCGACTAAATCCGCAAAAAAGTAGTGGTATTTTGTTAGTATTATGTTTGCTGTTTGATATACTGGTAAAGAAAGCGTACGTGAAATTAGTGCTGCCTTTAAGTATTATCACCAGATGCGCTTCATAATAGAGACTAATTGCTGGTGCGCTGAAAGTTGTAACACTACTGAATGAGTTGTTGTCGTTACACTTATCAATTATCTTATGTGTGGGAGCCTTATCGGGGACAAAGGTTGACGGGACACTATATTTGCGAAAGAGCTTGATAATCTATATCTGTAGAACACGTAGCCTTGAGTTCAAAGTTTTATTCTGTTGTGGTTTTTGCGCCCTACGCAGTTGTTTTTATTTATTTATTTAGGTGGGTGTGTGCATGAACAGATCAGGAGATCATAATTTTCGTGGGGACGTGTCTCGGGATTAGCACAATGGATTTTCTACTGCGACTTAACAGGGAAAACATGGTTGTTATTTTAATGTTGCTATCTTCATTGACCAAACAAAGAAAAAGTGTGGGAGGGGGGGGGGGGGGGTGTTGTAGGACATATCAGCCATGCTCTGTTAGCCGGAGAAAATGTTGACATGTCTCATTAGTGCTGGAAAATATTTCAAAACACGCTATGGGCAAGATATTTGGCTTTTTTTCTTTACAGCAGCTATGGGATATTGCTTGACGCATAGACAATACGCTATAGACTAAATGATGCAGCAAATGGAAGTGAAATGCTGGAGGCTTGTGTGAAGTGTGCAATGTCAGTGCTTGTTAAAGAACAAACACCAGGTTGCCCAAATATCCAGAGCCCTCCGCTATGTTATTATTATTATTATTATTATTATTATTATTATTATTATTATTGAATGATGCAACAAAAAAATGGTATATTATAAATCATGACAGGTCAATGTGGAAACATCAAGTTAGCATTTCTGCCTGCCATTTTTTTTATAGTTAGCGTATGTCAAATCCATGGCTGTATTGTTGCTGAATGAGCATACTCCACTCATGCAGCATTAACTTGGGGACCCAACTTATTTCAGATACTTGGTTGTTTTGCACCATAGTATCATGTACGACTATTGCCGTTAGCTGTTTTCCTGCCACTTACGTCTGAGTTTGTCAAGTATATTTGGTGTCCATTTGCCTTTGGCTTTCTATGTTGATCTTAAATGTTGAGAGATAATCAAGGTCAGATTAAACTGTGGGATGAAGAGGAGTGCATCATTAGATGCACAACTGTCGAGGAATTCTACGAAAAACAAGGAACTTCTTGCTACCAATGTAAAGCTTGAAAAACGGCAAAGCTGGTCTTTCTTAAAAGGCTTAATGGAACCTTCTCGACTGATACTAGGTCTTTCCTTGGCGTAGGCAGAGTAAAGTCGAACTGCAGTCCATCACAAACTCCAGTGCCAGAAATTTACATGCAAACCTGGCTGTGGCATTCCCGGTAGAAGCACGGACCTTTCGACACTTACAGCCCGCTCACTCTCCGCTGGGCAAACGTGGGGCAGTGGTTGCGCGGAGTGCCTCTGCCTGTAGGCGTGGCTTGGCGGCGGCTGCTCCTTGGCGCATGTGCGGCTAGGCGAGGTTCAACTCTGGTGGTGCGCAGCCGTGGCTCGGTTCTTGACAAGCAACGGCACGGAAGATTTTTTACGGACATCCAAAGTTTCACCTTGAGCTTCAAAGCTTTGCTCGTAAAAATATTTTCTCAACAGATTCCTTGACATTTTTAGTGAAAGGGTTCTTTACCAGGTACCTGTCAAAAACATTGCTTGGTTGTGCCGCAGTAGCTGCAAATCACCGTATGGGGAAGTTTGAAGTTTATTGAAGGGTAAGCATACATATAAATGAACAGATAAGGGAAGTACATGAAGCTTTCTACGACAAGAGCTTCGTAAAGAAAGCTTAGTGGTAGCCAATAGTGTGCGTAGTGTGGAGAGGTGGCCTGCTCATCATGCTCACTGCTTCTGTTCCTTTACTCGGTCATTGCACGCAAGTGGCCATTCTCTTCCTAAATGAGGAGGGTTCACGTTTCCCGAACAGTCAACATGGGACGGCTAAGGGATACGCAACTAACTTCACAGGTGTATGCCAGCTGCATGCCTTTCAGGTGGTAAGCATTAGTTAACACAAATTAAAAGAGAGACATATTTTATATAAAAATTGGCCGCGTATCCTCATGATTCACTGCAAAGGACATCAAAAGACAATAATCTTTTTTTTTTGTTAGGAAGTGCTGCGTGAGATTTGGCACCATCCCAAGTAACCACGGATATTCGGTAGGCGAAGGAAGGGACATCCATCAAATGTCCAGGAATGTACATAGTACGTCCGATTGTACATCTATCGAACGTACAGTACATCAGATGTACAAAAGTAACAAATTTGCACTTATATATATATATATATATATATACTCACAACCTACTCGGAGGCCCGTCTTTTTTTCGCGGGAGCTTTTCTGCTGCAAATGAATTCTAAAAAAAAATCCTCAGTGCACGCTGCTGGTCAAGCAGGTTTCGGGACAATAGGCACTATGGTGCGTGTTTTCTCTCAACACATCCAGAGGGGCACGGCTAGCATGACGTGTACGTTTGAGGAATCTGAGCAACTGCGTGACACCACTTGTTGCGAAGTGTTGAGGCTGGTGCATGAAAGTTTGCCTACATGATGACTGCTATGACGCTTGATCCACATTTTTGTCAGTTCACATGAAATAATATTAACACTAAATACATTATTTCTTATGACATACAATACACATATTGAATCAGCCAGATTGTTTTGCATCGGGAAGCAAAATTTTTTGGCATCCTGGGATCAAATGCGTGTGCCGAAACTTCAATGAAATTTATAGAAGCCTTTTTAATGGAATTTTATGAGATTGTCACCCAGGATTTCGCAGATCTATATATATTTTCACTTTGTTCTAATTTCGTAATAATTGATGAGCAAATGCACATATCCTTGGCATGTTTTTATATCGACAGCCAATCAACGTTCAAAACTTAATGTCCGGTTGGACATCCAGTTCAGTAGTTTAGAAAACAGTCACAGGGGACATCAATTTTCATAGTACATTCATTGGCTATCCGTGTTGGAAATTTATTCGGCCGGACATTTGTATTCAGAATGGACAGCCAGTGGATGTCCAAGGTTACTTGGGATCTGGCAGTAATCCGAATAAACTAAAGCTTTTTTAGAAGGCAGAGCCACTGGTAGGTGGCAGAATCGGGTCGTTTTAGTTTAAGCCCCTGAATTTTTAAGCAAAGCATAGCAAACACACACTTTTTTGTTTATAGTGTTGCATTGTCAGCACAGCGTAATAAATCGTTAGAATTCTATGCATTTTCTTAATAAAAAGACACATTGCCTAACACTTGTGTATTGATGTTGCTCCTCAAGTATGCTTAATATTTACTTTTTGATTGTCACTGTGCACAAGTATGAATGCAGCCACCAGACCAAGGTGGGTGGGCTTTGAGCACGGACTTAAACTTGCACCAGGTGGCTGAATTGTTGGACAGGCACCGACAGATAGAAAGGCCAAAAGTTTTGCGTAGAAGTATCCTAAGAAAGAATATAGTCTTTAAATATCTGAGGTTTTTGTATACCAAAACTATGATAGTCTATGAGGCATGCCATAGTTGAGGGCTTCAGAAATTTCAACCATCTGGTGTTCCTTAATCCATTGGCATCTGCACACTCCATGGCTGTTCTCCCCTGGTATTCCGCCAAAAAAGTTTTGTGCTGTGGGGGGGGGGGGGGGGGGGCATGGTTCGGTGCACCTAAATTGCAATAAATCCGCGCGACAAACGTCATAGAAAGACTAACTTTGTTTTATTCACTTAAGAATGCGTGACTGCATCAGGTGCTTCCGTATGATTTTTGTGTGAAAAAGTTTAAGGCTCACTGGCATGTGACGTTCTTTCAGGCATGTGACAAGCAACGTCACATTTTCGCACTCCCATCAACTCTCGGCTTTTTGTCCTGTGCCTCACAAACTAAGCAAAGGCTTGATGGATTTTGCTTAAACTTGTTTGCCAGGATCTGAGACGGAAAATGAGCCCATTTGGCAGCTTGTAGGCGCATTGGTGAGGGCACGACTGGCGGGTTTCTCAAATGTTTCTTTAGCGTAGCCATGTTTGGAAGAAGCTGCGATAGTGCACCCTTCGCCCCTAAAGGAAAGCAAGCACACTTACGAACAGCTAAAAAACATGGACATCTATGTCCATTTAGCAGATAATATACCAAGAAAAAGGCAAACACAACATACTTTGCCGTCATCTATGAAACAATGTCAAAAATAAACATGTTCTAGGCAGCCATTGACTCGCCGGTCAAAGCACTTTTGGTCTCACCAACCCGTCCGACAGATCACTGGTCGTGGAGGCCGATGGGTTAAAGTGCACTGGTATTGCACAGTATATGGGCTGCTCATAGTCAGTGCAGCCCGTATACTGTGCAATGTCAGTATCTGACTGCGCAGTATCATATACTGTGCAGCCAGATGAAGCTGCGGAAAAGGAGAAACACCGGTCAGGCACTTCTATTTGTTGGGCAGCTCGCCAAGTGAGACGGATGGCCTTGGAGATGCTGCACGCTCGTACGCTTACAACTGTGTGAAACGAGTATAATAGGGCCCGAAGACGCAGTCAGCTCAGGGCCTCATCCTGTGTGCACCTGACCTGTCTGCTTCTCGTTTATGTCTCTGTCTCTGTAGCTCTCGTTTGTTTCAGTATCAAGTATGAACCAAGTTGCCCAAACAGTCTTGTTGGACCTCGTCATTTTCTTAACCGACACTGCAGGCAATGGGTGGCGCCGTCAGTGCTGGCTGAAGACAACGATGAACTCGTGGACCATCTGGTCGAGGCAGACTACATCCGCAGTCCAGACGTCGAGAGCGCGCTGCGTGCCGTCGACAGGGCACACTACTATGCCGATGGGTGCAAGGAAAATGCATATCGAGACCTGGCGTGGAAACAAGGAAATTTACACTTATCAGCACCGTGCATCTATTCAGAGGTGCGTTTGGCTTCCAGCCCATTTCGTGCATCATAAACCTTGTACACTGATCAGGACAAAGCAAACGTCCACATAAAGGGGCCATGACACCTGATTTTAGGTCATAGTTCGTGTTATCTGGGTTAGTCTTTGTGTGTTCATAAACAAGCTGGTAAACATTGATATGGTTTGGGCAAGCACTTAATTGATAATTGGATATTTTCATTAACATGCTAGCGATATGGGAGCTGAGGAATGCTGGCTTACGCGAGAGTTATAATGTAACAGGCTGCTGCTGTGCGAGTTAGCATCTCGGTGAAAGTTTATGTTGTATGGTCTACTTGGCTTGAAATCAATTTTTTTTGCTCAGCTTACTATTTATATTTAATTATTTGACACGGTGGAAGCTTTTATAGGAGACGACGCGGCTGTGCTCTATGCAGAGCTGTCGACCAGGTATGTCGTTAGTGTGAATGTTTAATTATTGAGGAGTTTTTTACTGGCCGTTTTGTTTGCTGCCTGAACCAAACCAGGAGTCGGAAAATAAGTTGGCTTTCTGAGACTCACGAGGTGTTCAGCTTTTTGCTCCTATTTGTCCTTAAACAGTGCAGTAAACCTTAAAATAGCATAACATGTTTTGTTTTTAGTATACATGTTATGCGTTTCGTAGATGTCTTGCTTTCTTTCTCTTGCACAAAGCGTTGAATTATTCTTGCAAAAACGTGAGTGTAATGCCCTGCCACGTTGGCATGGCTATTCCAATCTTTCATATGCATTACAACAATTTCATATGTTGTCTACAATATATATTTTTTTAATTTATTGGAATTAAGTTGTACTCTGTGTATACTTCGTTAAATTATACAGAAACCATACAGGCTGATTGGAATGGCATACGAAAAACTTCAAGAGGAACAAAATGTCTCAGTGTGGGAAGCAGTGTGTCTCAGTGTGGGAAGCAAGGGGGTGGGAGAGGAAGCTATGCTTTCCTCTCCCACCCCCTTGCTGCTATAAGATGCCCTACATGACTATGCTATGCATGGTTTCGCTATTGTAGCACAAAGCGATGGGATGACACCATACAGTTACAGGATACGACCACCCAGGACCCTAATGGGCCCCATACTGAATAGAATTAACAAACTTCATTACATCACCAAGGGCTCCTCGATTTATTGATTGATATGTGGGGTTTAACGTGCCAAAACCACTATATAAGTATCAGAGACGCCAAAGTGGAAGGGTCTGGAAATATGGACCACCTGGGATTCTTTAACGTGCACCCAAATCTGAGCACACGGGCCTACAACATTTCCGCTTCCATTAGAAATGCAGCCGCCGCAGCAGAATTCGAACCCGCGACCTGCGGGGTCAGCAGCCGAGTACCTTAGCGACTAGACCACCGCGGCGGGGCACCAAGGGCTCCTGTTTTCATGTGGCAATAAAAAAAAAGTCTCGCAGCTTTTAACCAGAACTTGTGCTACATTACACTGTGTGGAGCGCATAATGTTGCAGTGCTACATTATGCTTTGTGGGGCACATTATGTTGCATTAAGTATATGTGTCTATGTGCAGTAAAAATGGTTCTCCTTTCTTCTGCCTGTTGTATAGTCGGATCTCAAGTCTGGGAGGTTCGATATGCTTGTGCGCCAGGGAACCCATGTGTGATGCAGGTCCTGGAAGCCCTGCAGTTGCGTCCAGGCATGACCTTCCTGAACCTTGGCAGTGGCACGGGATATCTGAGCACTGTTGCTGGCCTGCTGCTCGGTTCTAACGGCGTCAACCATGGTGTGGAGCTGCACGAAGATGTCGTACAGTATGCACAGCTCAAGGTACAAACTCATTGAGGAATCAAGTCTGTCTGAAACACCTGCCAATAAACCATACTTTCTTTCAATTTCCAACAAATATCATCAAAGACTAGGTCCCTGTTGCTTGTCATGACATTTTTATGTTTGATTGATTGATTGATATGTGGGGTTTAACGTCCCAAAACGTCACACATTTTTATGTTTAGTTGTTTCGCTAATGGTAGCCTTTTCTTTGTGTATCAGCCTTTGTTGTATTGTGCTTTGGTCTCTAGACATTGAATTTAATGTCCTGTATAGCGGCCGATAGGCTTGGCCTAACGGTCCCGACGTGGGAGACGCCCGCTGCCCGCTGACGCGCGCCTTGCAGGACCTCAATAAAGTTTCGCAACCAACCAACCAATTGATGTCCCCTGGTGCAGGGAATAAATATATTACAGCAGAATTAAGTGAAAAAAAAAAAGAAAGAAAAAAATATGCTGTATTTTGTAAACTAGCAACAGCATCAATGGTGCAAGCTCAATAGCAATAGCAAGTTCAATTGTGACAGCAGTATTAGCTGTCAATGAATTGGAGTCTGAGCGGCTTGGTCAGCTGCTGTTTATACATTGGGCAAGATTCGTCATTTACATTTACGAAAAGAGTAAATACCCGCCACGAGTCTAGTCGTTACAGTCCTTGACCGCTGACCTCAAGCTGTTCTATATAAGCACAATTTTCATTTACTTAGTCTTCTATAGTGGCCTTGGGACGTTAAGCTCCAACTTATTATATTATTATTATTAGCAGTAGTACTAGAAGTAGCAGTAGTAGTAGTAGTGATAGTAGTCTTATTATTAATAGCATAAATTGCAGGGTTCACCATTATAAAGCAATTTTTGCAGTACCAGGAGATGGGAAAAGGAGATCCTTTAAATTAAGGACCACTTTGGTTTTCTTAAAGGGTCACTCACCAGGCCCCATACCAAATTTTAGTTAGATAGTGAAAGTTGTTGGGTGTCCGATGAGGAACATTTCGCCACAAAAATTTTTTTAATCATGTCATCACGAGTGGAGAAAACAGGTTTGTTTAACCGGCACGAAATAAGGATAAGAGGAGGCGAGCTCGAAACCCTTGCCGCTCCTCCGCGTAGCCTTTGCTAGCCAAATCTCTTCCCCACCCTCTCCAGGCATCTGACCAAGAGGTGACGTGCGCATGACGTGCCTAAACAAGTCCAACCCGTGAGTACGCGAGCGGCGTTGCTTTGTCGACCGGCGTTATTTTGTGGTTTTCTGCCTGTTTCTGCGGGATCGTTTGGAAACGCTGGCTTAGACGCGGTAGAATAGATGAGCAAAATGAGTGCGCGAATGCGTAGGAGCATTCCACGGCGGTCGTCTGCTCCATGCGCTGACCGTTGGGACATGAACGTATGTGAAACGCCGACACATTAGCCCCGCATCTCGTAGGAATTCGCGGGAGAAAAATGGAAAAAAGACACGAACACTCCCTTATTGCGTCTCATTATTTATCTAGAGTTTTATTGATCTTTTCAAGCAACAAATTACATAAACTATGCATGCCGGGTTAAATAATTCTCGCCATATCACGTACCACTATCTGCAGTATCAGAGCAGAGTCTTCTACGTAGAGTACCAACGTCACGGCATTGACATGTACTTAGGGCCATTCATACGCGCACGTCATGCCCCAATTCTCTAGGCACGTGCTGGCAGAGGGGAGGGGGAGCAGCGTTCATCTTGAAATTGACCCATTACCGCGGTGCGTAGCATTGCAAATTTTAGCAGACCTGATCATGAACGTCTCGTCTTCAGTATTGTGCTTGTCAGCTCAAAATTGTCATACCTGGTGAGTGGCCCTTTAACGTAAGTGCTGTAGGTGTGCTGACATTCCCCGTAAAGATTTTTGCGCCGCGTGGCGCACTTGTCTCGCGCAGAAGCCATACTTCAGGGTCACAACTATTGAGCAGTAGGTAGCGTTGTGTCCGGGAGCGTTGATCACCACTATCATCATCATGATTAGATCGGTAGCGCTGGCGGTGACCCCTGGCGGCAAGCCTTGGTGGCGGCACGAGAGAATTGAGCGAGTCTCTTTTCTGCGAGTGGCGGTCGGCGCGAATGGTTCTCTCTTGCGTGGGTCCCCGGTGCGCGGCACCAGCGGGTTGTCGCCGAGGGCCCTTGTGGTGAATCAAGCCTTGGCACTGTCGCCTTGTGTTTGTTATGCTGTTGAGTGTTGCATAATTATGTGTGAGGTTGTTTAGCGTGTTGATCACAATATGTATATTATTAGGCTGACAATATTGTCGTTCTAAAGGTAGGGTAGTTAAATGAAGGTGTGTTGTTTGTTCTGTCTGACCTCGTCTACTGTGTCTGTTAACTGCAAAGAGTGTGGTGTAGCTCTCCACTTCGTGACCCCGCAACCCTAAGGACAGTGCACAAGTTCTTTTGCACTATAGGTGCTGTGGTGGGAATCGAGGCGGCTACTTTGAGCTCGGCACTGAGCATGTGCAAAGGATAGATGACTGAGTCAATGTTTGTAGACAGGTGCAGTGACAAATAAGTGGCGACCAGTGATGGAACGGCCAGTAAACTGAAATACCTGAGTAGGGAGTTTCCAAAAACGTACCAAAGCTTTGTGTACACTGCCCGTTGTGGTTGCTGCCACTGCACATGTGTCATAACACTAACCCCGGTTAGCGTTTGCTGTCCGCGTGCAGGAAATACGAAATATCATGTGGCCCACAAAGCTCTCTTGCGGTGATCGCGAGGAGATCGTGGGCGGCCGGGAAGAAGCGCCTATTCGGAAACTCGTATGGTGCCTTCATGCAAATACTACGTCCACTAACATAGCGGACGGCATTCGAAAACTCCCTAGTATTGGCGCGAGCAACGAACAGCAGTGGTAACCACAATACAAATGCTAGATAGACAATCCATGGTCCATGGATTGGATTGATAGTGACTGAAGAGAGTGATGTTTTAACAGTGGATAGCTGACACGAGCTATCATATAACCAACATTGGCCATTGCTGACAGTGTACAAGTGAAACAAATTGAAGCTCGAATAGCACAGGTGCCCTTATGCTCAAAGAACACCTACGGTAGAGCCACAAACTTGACTTTGCACAATATCATCCGTGTACTAAGTTCTTTACACAGCTTCTTAATTTACACAGCTTCTGAAATCAGCTAGTTGCCATTAGGTGAATTTTTGTTTATATTAACCTGCTTCATGGTGCAATATAATACCTTTTATTTCTTTAATTAGGTAATATTCATGATTTATACACTGTTGCAATGGATTTGTGTTGCAAAATGTTTTAATACTGTATACACGCGTGCAAGGGTCGTACTCGTGTAAGGGCCACATCCGCACTTTCCTTGACCCATACGCATTCAAAATGCGCACGTGTGTGAGCTACTAGGCGTTGTCAGTAGATGGCGTTAGAGAACGCAATTATGATCACCATATAGTACGTCATTAGAATAATTTGTTGGTTTTCTTCATGCTAATATGTTCATGAAGTTGGCTAAAAATTTTTAAGTTTTTTCAGTAGTGTTCATACACCCGCCAACTAAAGGTTAAAGCGGGATTTTATCTTTAACTTCTGACACTTCTATACAAATGCGCTATTCATATCGGCATTAGCATCACCAACATTGGTATTTGTGCGTTGTTCGGTTATTGTGCTGTTCAGCCTGCCATGTGCTCGAGTTTTGCGCACCATTGAATGACTCTGGGACTCTAGCTAGTTTTCTGCGGGACGTTTACGTTTTGGCACAATGGGCAAGCAACTGAATAGCTATACAGCTGGCTATAAGTTGAAGGTAATCGAGTTTGCTCTCGAGCATGGGAAACAGGCCGCCGACAGAAAATTCGACGTTGATGAGAAGTGTGTTCGACGTTGGTGCGCTCAGAAGAAAGCCTTGCAGAACACCAACATCAAAAAGCGCGCTTTCCGAGGAAAACAGTGCAAGTATCCTGATTTGGAAGAGGAGTTGCTCCGCTACGTGACTGAGGTACGGAACAATGGTTTTCCGCTCACTATGGATATGCTGCGCATGAAGCACGGATATGCTGCGCCTTGGCACGTGCGAAAAATATACCGGCCGGGGATTTTAAGGCTAGTGCTTGCTGGGTGCGAAGGTTTCTGAAAAGGAAGGGACTCTCCTTTCGGCGAAAGACCATGCTGTGCCAGCGGCTGCCAGAAGACTATACCAACAAGGTGCTTAGTTTTCACAAGCGTGTCATCGGCCTGGGCCATCAGCACAAATATCTGTTGTCGCAAATAGCGAACACTGATCAAACTCCTGTGTGGTTTGACTCTCCCGAGAACTACACAGTCGAAGTGAAGGCAAGAAGAGTGTCGCCGTGCGAACTACCGGCGCTGAGCACCAACATTGCACCGTGATGCTTTGTGTGACCGCGGACAGGCGGAAGCTACCCTCGTACGTTGTTTTGAAAAGGAAAAGAATTCCCAACGAAGTTTTCCCCAAGGGCATCATAGTTAGAGCCCAAGAGAAGGGATGGATGAACGATGATTTGGTGCTTGACTGGGTGAAAAGTGTTTGGCAGAACAGACCGGGAGCTTTGTTGGCCAAACATTCACTTTTAGTGTTGGATAGTTTCCGCGGCCACCTTACCGATAAGATGAAGGAGCAGCTGCACCATGTCAGCACAGACATATCCGTGATTCCAGGCGGCCTCACAGGAATGTTACAACCATTGGATGTAAGCGTGAATCGACCATTCAAAATTGAATTCTGAAGACTCTACACAGAATGGATGGCAACCGGCAACCATGAGCGGACGCCGACCGGACGGCTGAAGAGGGAACCGCTTGCTACTGTTCTCGGTTGGGTATTGTCGGCGTGGAGCTCGGTGTCGACGGACATTTTGTCCCGAAGTTTTAAGGTCACTGGGATATCCAACAGCCTGGATGGCACCGAAGATGACTGTTTGTGGAATGATGGTGCTCCGCAACACACCATCTCGGATTCCGAGTTAAAGGACTCTTCGAGTGACGACGATTAAGCGCACACGCAGCATACTGCAATAAATGCTCTTCGTTCGCTAATGGTACGTTGTTTTTAGTTCACCAAAAAAAAAAATTCTATGTATGGGCCGCACCCTGAAAATTGGCCCTGATTTCCTGAAAAAAAAAGTGCGGCCCTTACACGCGTTTATATTGTATGTATGCAAGGCATAAACTCATTCTGAAATTGCCCAGTTGGGCTGCAATATATATATATATATCAATAAAATAAAAAAAATAATGATAAAATATGACAGCTTCTACTGTATACAAGTTGAATTTGGTTGTAAATTAACAGTAATACAGTCGAACATGATTATATCAAACCCACGTATATCGAATTTTCGGGCATATCGGACTCGCAAGTTATTCCCTTGGAATTCCTTTGTAAAAGTATAGAAATTCGCGCGTTTATATCGAACGGTATTCTTACCCGCCTTCAGATATATCGAACGCCGCGCAAGCTGGAAGTTGCGCTTTGGCATTTGCCTCCTCCCCCCCTCCCCCTTTATCCCTGCGATCTCCGCAGCAGCGTGACTCTACGCGCGAGTTGGAAGACGCGCTTTGAACACTCGCAGCAGCGCCCAGCGACCTCCATGTGGCACCACACCTCCGCCAGAACCTGAAACTTCCTCCGTGCCCGAAACGCTCGAAAGAAGGTGAGGGCGAGAGGGCTCAGACTGCGCAGTGTCCAACTTGCGGAATGGCTTTTTTTTTGTTTTTTTTTTTCTCTCTTAGCTATCTCCGCGTATGCGTCGGCTCGGAGAGCAGGAATGAAGGAGCTGGTGTCGCCCTCCTTTCGCCTTTTATTTTTTTTAGCTGTTTTATTATTATTATTTTTTTAGCGAGTGACAGCGATTTGGGAGAGCACAAATGTCACTACACTCGCTGTCAAGGCTGCGTTTACGAAAAGAGCAGGCTACTCACACACGAAGAAATAAGAATTGTGACAGTTGTCCACGCTTGTCCTGTGTGTACTTGTGCGTTTGTTTTTCATGCATCTTTGTTTCTGTTTGAACAGCGCGCTTTAAGTGTCGAGCGGTGACAGTTGTTAGCTCACGCTCAACCGGTGTATGCTCACTTCGTACAGGTTTTGAACTGCTTGCCCTTCTTCCCGTGACCTTGCAGTTGCTCGCTGTAGCATTCATCCCTTCGCCCTTGGGGCAAAACAGTGCACAATAAACACTCAGCTACATCTGTGAAGACATGTTTCATTTTCATGTTATGCAGTTAAACCTGGATATAATGAAATTGACAAATTCCCAGAAAAATTAGTTCTAAAGAGTATTTTGTTATATGCAGGTTCGTTAGGGAAATTCAAAAAATAAACACACAAATTAAATAAAAGGGGAACTGAAGGCAGAGCTAATGCAAAACACCTATTTAGCAATAAAAAACTGCGTTATTATTGCAATAGCAATTATATGGACACTCTTTGGGGGTTCTTGCCATCTCCTTCACGCGGGGGGGGAGAGGATAACATCCTTCCCCCCCCCCCCGCGTGTTAGAAGGGCCGTCAAATGCTCAAACAGAAAGAAAACGACAGTCTAAAGAGCATGAAAAAGCTTGTGAAGGTGGGGGGTTCGCTCGTGTAGCAGTGGTGAACTTTGATTTTAAGGCCACTATCGCGATTGCTGGCGCTCGCACTATCTGGGCAAGCATCAGTGCACTTTCAAGGCGAAGAGACTATGTGAAAAGAGCACTTCACCCAGGAGTGGCCGTATTTGCTTACACCAGTGTCTGGCAGAAGTTCTGCAACATCAGATCCACAAGAGTTGGCTGCAAGGCTTACTTTGTATCACATTACAATTTGTTCCTGTAGCATTCATCGCATTGCATTGCATTCAACGCACCGTTGTGTTATTGCCAGAACTAATAGTGAAGGCTACGGGCCTAGAAACTCGTGGTGTGGCACAAGACGGAAGCACGTGACGAGTCGACCTCCAAAGATATCCTGGGTTACCGTGGTCTCGCAGAGTTTTTATCAGTACCTAATCTGACACCCGCTCAATAATAACGACACAGTTGTCGGCATTAAAAAAAAGCCAAGCTGAACGTTGTCGGGGGCCAGACAATGCGTGCTCAGCATCGAAATTGAAGAGCGAACGACATGGATACCGCAGATAACCATTCGGTAAAGTGCCATTCATACGGAGCAGTGCCCTACATATGTGATGCTAACTAAAAGCGTGGCTCACTGCCAACTTACGTAGTTTTCTCCTTTTGTTTTTGGTTTTGAGGCGGGGCTCATCTGCGCATGCGCCTGCAGCGGCAAGAACGACGGCAACGCCGGCTCGTGGGGCGCAGGTCGGCCTGCCTACACCCGCGCGTAATAACGAGTGCTCCCTCTCACCTGGAAGTTGCCAGGGCCACGAGCCCGCCGCTTCGCGCTTCGTCGGCGGCGGAGAAACCGCAGAATATGCATGCACGTGCCAAAATGACAAAGTCCAAGGCGAAATTCCTAGTTTGTCCATGGCGAATATTCGTTACATCAAGAATGTCTCCTGCTGTGACTTTGTTACATAAAAGTTGATAATGCATGTGCTTCTATGGAGCAACGGTGGGGAATAGAATACTTCGTTATATCGAGGAATTCACTATATGGAGGTTCGTTATAAGCAGATTTAACTGTACCAATTTCTAGAAAGTCGGATAAGCCACGTTTATTTATTTATTTTTTTTTTTTTTGTTCTCTTCGCATGACAGGTGTCACAATTTCTGCGGTCTAGCCATGCGCTCGAGGAGTTTGACTTCTGCGAGCCGCGCTTTGTCGTGGGCAACTGCCTGTCGCTTGAGACCAACGGTCGCCGCTACGACCGAGTCTACTGTGGGGCTTCCTGTCCCATTGAGAAGGTGACCGTCTTCAAGGCCCTCCTCAAGATTGGGGGTGTGCTCGTAATGCCCTGCAATGATCAGGTAAATTATAAATACTGTAATTAGCACCAAGTTGAAAAGTTGTCAGGAGTGTTTTTGGTGGAATACCATGATAGAGCAGAGGATGACACATTGCTGGACTATCAACAGAAAGTGTATACACTCAAACCTCATTATAACAAAGTTGCTTCTGGACATGAAAATAAGTTCGTTATCAAGGTTCATTTCTAACACTATATCTACTGCAAGAGTATTTTTCATTTTCTTCGTTATTAGCAATATTTTGTTTTATCCAGGCTCGTTATATCAAGTTTAAGTGCAGTTAGTTCTCCAAAATTTTATAGCAGTAAACAGGCTCGTTGCAGGCTCATTACCCTTTTTTTTTTCTTCTAATAGATTGTTTCTGCCTATACACTTTATTCTTTTTTTCTTTTCGGTAGAACTAATGGTGCACTGATGCATGATTGCCTGCTTGTCAACTTGGCACTACTTATTCCTTAAGATCTTGATATGAAAATCTCTGTTTTGAGGACTGTGGAAAGTGAGACGTCCAGACCGTGTTCCTTCGTTCTTGTCAGTGCATTTGGCTGCAAACCCTCTTCATGAGACGCAGCCAACTAGCTCAATTAAGCACTACTCTCAAGCTAAAAACATTTACCATGCTAGACATGCAACGTGAGACTGAACATGAAAGTTATGAACCCTTTTGCTGGTAGCGTTTGCCAAACTACTCTCAAGTACTTCTTAATTAATCCTAAATATATCTTACTGCACTGTATTTTTAGTGGATGTTAGGCATCTTTTACAATACTGATTCATGAGATGCACCTTTATGCGTTGCGCTTTTTGAGGTGCGTCTTTTTTGCATTGTTTGATTTTCTTCAGCAGTTCATGTCAATGTCTGTGCTCACTTTTTGTCTGATTGGGTGCTCGAGGCTTTCGCCGCAAGGCGGTGAACCACTTTTGAAAATCATTATCAAGTGCCCTCAGTATCGTAATTTATGACATCAAAATCGCTCGCTGGCAAAGGAAAAATTTAAGAATACACTGAGAACACGTGGAGTTACAGGGATTTGTCTCACACTTTAAACACTTTCTCTGTACTCTCTTCCTGATGAGCACGCTTAAAGCTGTATTGAGACATCATGGCACAAAGAAAGTACGTCAGCATGAATCGTGAATGGCAATCACGCTCCCGGCGAGATTGCGGTGTGCGCTGGTGTTGCTACTCTGTTGTTTAATCAAGCGCAGCGCCAGGTCAAACCGAGGCAGAAGAAACGCCTCCTTCCACGAGAAAGTCCGTGCTCATGGGCACTTGCAGCCAGGAATCGAAAAAAACAGCTGAAAATAAATGTCGTTTGTAATGTTTAAGCCTCACTTCTTGCCAGTAAACTGTATGCCATTTTAAACAGTTTGGTGCCGAAACTCGGGAACTGCTATGAGGGACCATGGAAGACTACGGGAGGCTATGAGTTAACTGAACAATATGGAGAGGCTAAAACCGAAGTGAACATCAAGACGATCTCTCAACACAAGGATTATCAACGAGGCAATAGCTCTTCTCGATGCGACAGCCATCATCGATCAGCTTAACGCCATGTACGGACTGTGTGAAGGCGAACAACGATGAGCTGAACCAAATCAACAGGGAGTTAGAGAGCCATATACCAGATGAAGAGTTTGAGGAAGAGTACGACACCATCTTTGAATACGAAGACAACGCTAACAGCGTCATGAGTGAGCTTCTTAGCAAGTGCGACCGTATTGTTGCGGCCACGTCATCAGCACCGGAGCTTCAGACTTCGTCCGTAGTGAGTACCACTGGAGCCTCTGGTGCCAAGCTTCCCAAGCTTACCATCGCCCCATTTGTTGTTGACCTGTGCCAGTGGAGCGGTTTTTGGGAGCAATTTGACTAGATGATTCACCGGAACGGAAACCTCACGGCAACGGACAAGTTCAACTACCCGAGGTTCTTCCTAAGGGGCGACGCAGCTTCAGCTATTGTGGGCCTGCCAGCCACAGAAGCTTGCTACAAGGACGCCATCGACATACTCAAGAAACGCTTCGGTGACAGAGTGAGACTCGAGCAGGAGTACTTCTCCAGGGTTCGTACGTTGTCTTCAGTTCGTTCAAGTGCCCCGCAAGCTGTACGACCGGATCATCATCAACATCAGAAGACTGGAGACCCTTGGGGTGAGCAAGACGTTCTTTTCGACAATGCTGTGCGACATATTGCTGCGGGCTTTACCACTCGATCTTGTTGTACAGTACCGTCAGTCATGCGCCAATCTGGCGGTGAGCTACAGCAGTAATGAACCCTCTAATACGGAGCTGGAAGGCCTATTAAGTTTTTTGTCTATTGAAGTGGAGAGTTTAGAGAAGAGTGAGTTCGCTAACCATCGTGGAAAAGACAGTATAATGAGAATGCGCTGAACAAATCACGGCAGTCTCGTAGCTCAAAACCCACATCCTCAGTTCTCCATAACAACACAAAGAAGGTACCTGAGAACTGTGTGTTTTGCAAATCGAGCCAACATTCCACGGAAGAGTGCTCATTGGATCTCCCGCTACCAGAAAAGAAGCGCATTCTATCAGGAGATATTAGGTGTTTTCAATGCACGACGAAAGGTCACAGGGCGTGCGATTGCAGGCGCAAGATTAGGTGCTCTACCTGTCAAGGGCGCCATGCCACAAGCGGGTGTGATCGGCAGAAATTAAGCCAGAAGACACGAAAAACCGGCCGGACAAATACCGGCAAGTAAGCTAGAATACCGGCAAGTAAGCCAAGCACCAACACGACTGTATGTGCATCTCTAGGGAAGAATCGACATACCCTCGAGAGTTTATCGACGAACGTACTTCTTCAGACGTTTGGGCTTGGGCCGTAACAAATATTACATGTCGGTATGTCAGAGGTGTCATAGACGGAGGAAGTCAGCACAAATTCGTCATAAAGAGGCTATCAAAGCAGCTGAAGTTGCCATGTGTGGGATCCACCATCGTTGCACTCAACACTTTCGCAAGCAAGTCAAGTCGAGCAGCGCAAAGGCGACGTGTTGTGTAGCTTCGATTGAAGAGTCAGTTTTCACACACTGAAGTTACCTTGAAAACAATAGAAATTCCGCACATATGCCAAGATATCGAAGCAAGTACAACAAATTCACCATTCGTCGCGGAAATACAGGGAGCTGGAAAAGACATCGCTGATCAACTGCTATACGGATCCATTGTCAGGGAAGAAGGCATTAGTGTTCTTATCAGTTCCGCCCAAATGTGGACGGTGATGACAGGAGAGGCCACTCAATGCGCAGGCAATGACACGCTTATTGCCATAAACTCGAAGCTGGGGTGGATGTTTCAAGGAAACACCAGCATGGCATCGGACATTAAACACTCATGGATTATGGTCTGCGTATTGAAAACCAGTGTACGAGAGCGACGAATTCCTTCGTTCCTTTTGGGAACTCAAGAGCATAGGAATAACAGACGCCGTCGACAGTGAGAGCAAGCTCAGTCCAGCAGTCCAGCAATTTGAACAGACTGTCTGCCTTAGGAGCGGAAGATGCGAGGTGACGCTGCCCTGGAAGGAAGACAAGGAGCTCTCGGACAACAAGCAAGTGGCTATGACAAGACTTTGAAACTTCTCTCCCGACTGTCGAATAAGCAAGGACTCTTGGAGACGTATGACACAATCATATGGGAGTACCTATGATTGGGACATGCAGAAGTTGTCGACGGGCCACCCCTGAATTCGTCAAAAGCTTATTATATGCCGCATAGAGAAGTGATCCGAGAGCACGCACTCGCCATAAAGGTCCGGATCGTTTTCGACGCTTCCTCTCACGCAAAAGGGTGCTTTTCACTGAATGAATGCCTGCAAAAGGGTGAAAACCTGTACCAGGATCTCTATAAGTATTATTACATTTCAGAATGCACCTGTATAGCTCTTCTTGCCGACATTGAAAAGGCATTCCTTCAAATTTCAATCGCTGAGGAAGACAGAGATGCCTTTAGGTTCCTCTGGTTTCGAGAGAAGGAAGCACTGCATTTCTCAGAGGAGGATATTCAAGAGTGGAGAATGACGAGAGTGCCATTCGGAGCGACGTGCTGTTCCTACCTACTGACGGCAACTAACACTCCACCATCTGAGGAGCGTGCATTCAAGCAAAAGCCAGAACCGCAAGCAGAGTCAGATGAAGAAGCATTTCAAATCTGCGCAGAAGCCTAGGAGATTATGCAGCAAGCAGGAATGACACTGAGGACATGGACGACTAACTCGGATCGATTGATTATCGCATTAGAGCACGAGGAAAAGATTGCAGGCAAGGAACTGGCTATCTTCCATGAGACAATTGTGAAAGTACTTGGAATTACATGGAATCCACACACGGATAATTTCACATTTTATTTGAGGGGCCTTCTCGAGTTTATGAAAGAAAAACGTGATACCAAGCGGTTCGTTCTTCAAGCTGCTTCCAGAATATTCGACCCCTTGGGATTCATTGCTCTATTTACCATTGCTATAAGGATCTTCTTCCAAAAGTTATGGACAGGTGGAATAGGATGGGATGAGCAGCTACCTCCGGGTCTTCTGGATGAGTGGTGTGAATGGGTGCATCAACTACCGGTTTTGCAGAATGTTTCCATGCCGCGTTATCTTGGCAGCGAAGCCAAATCACCCGCATCACCCAAAGAGCTACAGGTACACGTATTTCGCGATGCAAGCCCTTCGGCATACGGTGCAGCGCTTTACGTCATATCGAGCTGTTCAGGGAAGCCCGAATTGCTGATTGCAAAAGCCCGTGTAGCACCAGCAAGACAATGACACTACCATGGCTAGAGCTTCTAGGAGCCTTGATTGGAGCAAGGCTACTTTGCTATGTGTCAAGTGCGCTCACGGGCCTCAAGATCCACTGTACATTGTGGTTGAATTCCACAATCACACTTTCGTGGATAAAAGGCGACATGACGAAATGGAAGCAGTTTGTGTCGAACAGAGTGAAAGAGATCAGGGAAAAAACAGATCCTTCTATGTGGACGTATTGCCCTGGTCATGTAAATTCAGCTGACCTGCTCACACATGGAGTTTCTATGGAGATATTATTATCCAGTAACATGTGGCGACATGGACCAGACTGGCTATGCGAATCAGAAGACCGATGGCCTCAACCACCGTCAGAAGCTATCAGCACCAATGACAGGATTTCTTCTGAAATGATTGCCATGCACATTGTAATATCCAGTAAGACAATGTTGGTACCAGTCCTGGACATAAACAGTTACAGCAAAATTGAAAGGCTACTCATGGTATCAATGTTTTCAGTGTAATTCAAGCACACTAAAGAGTGTGTCCGCAGTGCGTGCCAGCGACCCGTGGCCACAGAGTTTCCTACAATGTTTGGCAGAGGGAACTCTGGTGCTGCGTTCAGCCACCATGGGAATGATGGGTAGCACATGGAGTTGCCTAATCTTTGTGCTTGCGGCTTCGACCGCACTTGGGGTTTAGTTCATTGTTGTGCTCCGGCGTTTGTTTCTGATCAAAGAATGGATCTTGGTGAACTTCATAAGCAGATTTGAATAGGTGAGCCTAGAAATAGGTCAACGGGGTGACGTGAAACTGCCGAACATTTGTCGAATTTCGTCTTGGGACTAAACGGCTTTAAGCCAAACGTAGCCGAAACAACGAAGTTTAGATGAATCTGTGTACTGCCCATCAATCCCATGCTGGCTAGAGTGCCATGCATTACAGCTCTTATAAACACTAGCACCAGAGCTCCCTCTTGTAAATATTGTAGGAGACCCTATGTTGGGAGCAAATGCAAGAATGGCATCTGACCTGAATAATGCTATTGGTTGTCCGCTATCAGGCAATCGGAGAAATCCGCACTATGATGACCTATAGCTGGCGCTGGCCTTGCAAAGAGAGGGAAGATATCCATACGAAAAGAAGGGCGGCTGCGAAAGTGGCAACTTCGCATTCTTCTCGTAAACTCGCCTCGCCACGCACGGCTACATAACTTGGATAAGCTGTTCTGTCTGCTTTCCATTTTGCACCTATTTCCGCCAAGCACGAGATTGAGGACGTGAAAGCAATGTGATGTGAAATATGAAAGATTCAGGGTGATGTGAAAGCAATGTGGTCATCCTAGAAGCTGGTCTTAGTTCTCGCCGGCCTTCGACAGCTGGTGCAGGTGAAGCGCACGGCTGAGGACGTCTGGGCGGAAAAGAACATCCTCCCTGTGTCCTTTGCCAGCCTCGTGCCCCCGCAAAGGGACGGTGCCGAGGTGGTGCTGCGTAAGTAGCCGCTGCCGTTTTGCCATATATACTCAATTGTAATGTGACCACAGCTGTTTCGCAAGGGGTAATTTTTTGTTGCATCCAGGAAGAAAAATATTTTTACTTTGTTCTTGTTGATATTCGATTGTTACGTGAGGGCCCACTCCAGGTAGCAAATGTCCTGAAAGAAACACGTGCTGCATTCAAGTAACGCAAGCTTAACCTTAATGCGAGCAACATTATACTACCTATCTTCATAGCCAAGTGTTTCTACACTCTTGCATGAATAAGAAGTCGAATCAAAAGTCATTGCACAAGAGATTTCACCAGGGCTAGCATTCCAACAAGTCTGCCTGCGGAGATTGTTTCTTGCTGATCTGAAGCCTCAATAATCTCTCAAGTGTCTATTTTTTTTCTTTATTGAATTTATTCAATTGCACTAGGCTTATATGATTATCACCTTTTTAGTTTAAAGCAAAGGTCTACCAAATGGTAAATGGCATTTGAATGATGTAAAAGGTCATTAGAATAGTAGCAGCATATGAGCGGTAAAATAGTATTAGGATGTAGGTTGTACAAATTAAAATTGCTTACTCTTTAAAAATTTCTATAAGTAGTCCTTGAAGGCCTTTACAAGACACTTTCAAACATTTAAAACAGTTCATCGGCCTGCAGGTAATAGTACGCACACATAAAGTGTGGCTTTGTGGCAGTGCTGATTTTTTCTGAATGTGTGGTTTCACAACATAGCTGCTGATATTACTCCTCCAGGCAGGTTACATGCAGTAAACCACGTCTGTTTGTTAGTGTTGAAGTGAATTCGAATACTCTGATACCTATTCAAACATTTTAGGCAGCTAAACATAAGCCTAGATTGCATGCATTACTAGTTGCTGCTTTTTCTACTGCACCTTCGGGCATTGTTTGCCCATTTTCTGGTTCGAACCGCCACTTTTGAAAATTTATGCGCCTTACCCTTTCTCTCGGGCAGCCGACTATCAACCCAGCAGCCTCCAGGAGCTGAGCCGCGGCGTAATCCGTCGCCTGCTCCGTGCCCGGCTGGATCGGGAAAAGATTGCGAAGCCTCGCCGCCGCCTGCAGCCTTCGCGGCTGCGGAGCACCAGTGGCGGCAATTTGGTGATGCCCTTCAGAGGCACTGGAAGCGGCACCTCTACCGGCGGCGACTCCGGCAGCAGCAGCGGTGACGAACCGCACCGCAAGCGGTCGGCTGGCGGGGAGGGCTCGGTCCTGTGGAAGCGCGCAGCTCTCGACGATGTCTGCCCACAAGCCCTGGTAAGGTGAAAAGTTTTGGATGAATCTTTGTGGTGTTTAATGATTCTCACAGCAGAAGTGAATGAACATTTATTTATTTGTGTGAAAGGGCTCTTGCACTCCTAAGAAGCAGAAATTTATCATATTTACTCAATTGTAGTTCAACCGCGTTTGTAATGCGAAAGGTGGCTTTTCATGCATCCAGGTGGAAAAAATTGTTATATTGGTATTCAATTGTTACACGAGGGTCGGCCTTTAATGGTAGCAAAGATCTAAAAAAAAAAAAAAAAAACTTGGTGCTACATTCAAGCAAATACAGAAAGTGTAAATCTGATGGCTCGTTTTCCTTGTTAGGCGCAGTACTAATGGGAACTAAAAGACAATAATGCCAGGGAAAGTATACGGGATGTTATTAAAAGTAATTGTAATGTAAATGTGAAGATAAGATAAGTGGACGGAAAGATAACTTGCCACCTCAGGATTCGAACCTGTGACCGTTTACATTAATATTCAAACCCTTTGAATATTCGAACGAATAGTACAGTATTCAAATTCGCTTTGATTGGAATTAAAATTATTGAAAATTGCAAAGCATTCGCAATGAACGAATAAGTGTATATTAAGGGGGCACGCGGCTTTGGTATCGCAAAGAATGGCAAAAAAATCAATTTTTCAGGAATAAAGTTTTCAGTTTCTGAAACCCTTTTTCTATCTGATTCCAAAAATATCTGCACTGAAAACCGTGCAGAAATGCTTCAAAAGTTCGCTTCACCCTTCTAAGTAACAAAAGTTTTTCTGGAAATGACGAGAAAATATCAATTTTCAAAAATGTTAGCTTCGCGAGGGCGCAGTCGGGAGCCGTCTTCTTGGGCTTATCAGAAAGAGTGTTTCTCCGTGTTCAAATTTCCCGCCTCATCTGGCTCCTTCCTTTAAGAACAAGTGCACAAAAAACAAATATTTGAAGGTCGTTTAGAGGCCCCGGGAAGACATGGCTGTCAAAAATTCCTACTTCGTGACATGTTCACGGCTGGACAATCACTTAAGATATAATTACGCTTTAGTTAGGAGCTGTAAGCGGATGCACGATCAGATTACTAGGAGCGGGCACGTGGTCTACTAGTGCGGCACATCATCGCGAGCGGGCGCGCAGTGTACGAGCGCGTCGCGTCAACGGAGTCGTCTTCAAGCGAGTACTCTGCTGCCGGCAAGACTACGGGCATGAACAACGCACTAACGCGCTCGTGGCAACGTGCTTCTTCGCAAGCAACGAAGCTGTTAGCGTTATTAGCGTTAGATCAGATTACTACGAGCGGACGCGCGGTTTCCAAGCGCGGCGCGTCATCGGAGTTGTCTTTTGGCCTAACTCCGCTGACGGCTGGACGAACTTTGCAGGCAAGAACACTGTGCTAGAGCACTCGTGGCAACATGCCTCTTCGTAAGCAACGATTTGTTTGTTCAAAAGTACGTTTGTTTCGAAATGTACGTCCCCCCCCCCCTTGATTTGCATTTAATTGCCTGTAAAGGTGCTTTCACTGCAGTATAGGGATGCTAAGCTGTGAAAACATTTATTCAAGACAAATTCGTTCTGTCGTGAAGCGTGACTTCAAATTTAACCCATCATTCGCTCGTTTCTTGGAACTGCGGGCAAGCATTTTACGCATCGGCACCAGACCCCACTGTCAAGCTTGTCAACCCCCCCCCCCCCCCTCCACTGCCAAAAATTGCTCGAAACAGCGGCTACCAGTTTCGCGCGTCGGCATTCGAAAATGCGATACCAAGCGCAGTGCACGCGTTGGGATTAGAAAGTGCGATACCAAGTGCAAAGCGCGCCAGTTTTTTGTCATCGTTGGTACACATTTCGCACATCGTCACCGAACGCTGCCGGCAAGTGCATCACGCGCCAGCTGCGCTGTCCATGTGTCCGCGCACTTCACGGTCATATGGAGGACTGTCAATAAGCTTTTGTGATGCAATTTAGACGTGCTTGGAGCCTTGCTTAGTATCACCGCGAGCGTCTATGAATGTTCTGAGACAATGAAAGCCTCATAGATAAGTGTTTTTGTGATCGGCACGATCATGCGTTTCATGGCTACAGTTGTAGAAAAGCATGTATGAAGCAGGGGCAAGAGTATTTATATGCCCGACTCGCGTCATTAAATAAACTACTGAAAAAATTTCTGTGCCACCAGTTGTCTGCCCATAACTGTTAGTCATTTGGAAAGGAGGCATAGGCTGTCATGGTGTGAGCCATAATAAACTTCTCTCTGTAAAAAAATGTCTAGTGATTATTTTATTTGTAATTAAGAAGTACCTAGTTATGCTAATGACAGCTTGAACACAAATAAAGTCTAATCACTTCAGTATATGGCCTTTTTTAATTACAATCTATGCTGTCATTCCTACTATCACACTCTCCTTGATACAAAGAACTTGGTTTGAAATCCATACTTGTTCTTTGTAGATAAAAAAAAAAGGTTATTAAAGAAATATAGGCAACAAAGGCATACTTAGTTAAATATCACAAGACAAACCTATGATCACAATTTTTAGGTGTTTTAGAAACGTTAAAAGAAGGTGAAACTTTAACGCAGTTTTTTCAATACTGTTTTTTTGGCATTATGTTCAGCTCGTAGAGCAGATATCTGGGCAACCACTGCACAGATTTTGATTCCGTTTGTTTTGTAACGCTCCTTGAACTGTGCTTCAGGGGGCTGCGATCTAAGTTTTCTATTTTACTCCCTAAAGAATTTTTCGTGGCAACTACGAATTGCAAAAAAATTATTTTGAAAATGCTGCCCCCTTCAGCATACATTTAGCTGTGCGTTCAATAATTGCCAACTGTTTTTATCATTTTTTAAATCTGTCAGCCCCTGCGCGAGGTTCAAGGAAGAAATAATTTGTATCACATTAAGTTTTTGTGTTATCGCATCGAAATTTTTATGAAAGCACTGTGAAGTAATTTTTACTGTCTGTGCCAATTTTCATCAACATCCAACAGTAAACAAAAAGTTTGTTTTGAAATGTACGTCCCCCCCCCCCCCTTAATTCGCATCTAATTGCTTGTAAAGGTGCTTTCACTGCCGTGTAGGGGTGCTAAGCTGTGAAAGCATTTATTAAGACAAATTCGCTTTGTCATGAAGCCTGACTTCAAATTTAACATATTACTCGCAAATCGATTATCTTTTTTTTTTTTTTAAGCATAAAACTGTCATGAGGATACACATGCTCTAAGCATAATAAATTTTTAAATGTTACGCATTTTACAGCTTATCACTCATATCCTACCGAAATTCAAATGCTACTACTACTCAAAGTTGTTAAACTTCCTTAGAACAAAAAAAAGAAGGCATTTGCATAGAGGCTTTATTTCAATTTTTAAAAAATTTGTGCAGGTTACTAACCAGCAGGTTGCGGGATCGAATTGCAGCTGCAGTGGCTGCATTTTTGAATGAGATAAAAATGATGTAGGGCCCGTGTGTTCAGATTTCGCTGCATGTTAAAGAACCCCAGGTGGTCGAAATTTCCTGAACGCACCACTACCCTCTCTCTTCTTATCATATTTTGGGACACATATCAATTTTTGGACATAGATCAACCCCACATATCAATTGATCATATCAGTCAGTCGTGCAAGTGACTTAGGTCATGATAAATATTTTTTTATATGTCATATATACTATTTGAATTCGGAAATTGTTTGACCAAAATCACTATTCGCATCGAATTTGCTTCAAACCTACAATTCACTATTCGCACAAGCCTAGTAAGTATGGAAGTTGTGAGGTTGCAGCTGTGCACGAGTCTCAAGAAACATTTAGCCATGAGAATTTCTTTAAACGATGCCGTAATAGCGGAGTTACACGCATTTGATTATTCATAAGAGGCGCTCCCTCGTTTCTCTTTTCCCTTAGCTATGCTCTGTTCGTTGGTTCGTCTCTCCTCCTGATCGAGTGCTCCTCCTCACTGTGCGAGGAGGAAGACCTGCGAGCAAACAAGCAGTTTCTTTTTTGGGAATGGCGTGGGTGGAAAAGAATGTCAATGTCCCGGCAAATGCCAAGAATTATCCAAAGGCCTGGAGAGGAGAAGAGATTGTTTCTTTGAATATGTGGAAAGGGGGAAGGAGGGGCACGGGTGGCTCTTAGCGCTACCATGATTGACACTGTTGATCGTGAGGGAATTCTGGACTCTGCAGGCATTTACTTCAAGTGATAAAGAACTATCAAATTAACTGAGGTGGTTAAGGGCACTTTGAGCCCACCCCCTCACATCTGCACTTTTGGCCAGGGTCTCTGGAGGGTAGTTGTATAAGCGGAAGTGCAATTGTGTATCTTTATGCTTGTTATGGGCAAAAACACTGGGACAAAAAAAAACCTGCACAAGGACTGTGTTGCCCTGTATCGTCAATGTGTGTTTGTGTGCAACAGTCATAAAGGGGAATTCATTCTAGGCTTTTGCAATAATGTTAGAGGTGCCCGAGGTACTGACAGGCCAGCCTATATACGATGAGTTATTCGTTACGTCAAGGTTACACCTTATGTCAAGGTTACATATGTGTACAACGTATGTGTACAACAGCTCCTCCTATTGGTGCAACCCTTGACAACATTCACTGGTGCCATCACACACTGCAGTCAGTTGGAATACAAAGTTTCAGGATAAGAAGGCCTATGCTTGGCACTGTTTACGGTCCATTTAATAATAATAATAATAATAATAATAATAATAATAATAATAATAATAATAATAATATAAAATAATAATACTAATAGCTGAGGATTAACGTCCCAAGCGAGATTGAATTCCAGCTGCAGTGGCCACATTTTCAGTGGAGGTGAAAATGCCTGAGGCCCATATACTTGGATTTTGGTGCACGTTAAAGCACCCCAGGTGGTCGAAATTTCCGAAGCCCTACGCTACGCCGTCTTTCATAAACATATCACGGTTTCGGGACATTAAACCCGAGAAATTATCATCATTATTGGATACTTCACCCCAATTTCAAGAAGTTGAAGGGCCGCAGACCCTTCGTCATTGATGGACAACACGCGAAGCTCGTGCAAGCTCCTCACATTTTGTCTGGCCTAAACAAGGTGGCTAGTTTGAGGCTGTAATTGTAATTAAGGTGTCATCATGCTGGCAGGGGGCGATTGTGTTTGTTGCCTTCCAGTTCCAGCGCTGTCTAAGCTCTCGGTGCACATGTGTCAAGTTCGACACCGCTAGGGAGTACATGATAGTGCAGTGACAAGTTTCTTCATCATCGACTGACTCAGCCAGCAAAAACTTTTACATTTGCATTGATGCTTTTTTCTTCTTTTTTTTTTCTTTTGCTGATATTAAAATCTAGAAAAACTGGCAACTAAGTATCCATGATATGGGCTACCTTGTACAGAACACACTGAGCATGTGAGGCTCCTTTACGGATTTTTTTTTGTGTCCGTCATTTTGGAATGACGACTTCATAAATACTCATTTCTAGTGCATGCTCATACGTGATAGTGCTTTTCAACTAGCATTTCGTTGTAGGAATGCCTGACAGTTATTGAAAACTAGGGGCATTTTCTTTAGTTGAGATGTGATGCTTCAAATTGAGGTCTATTTGTGGAGATGACTATGAAGGTGCTAAGGTAAGATAGACACTTGACAGAATGCTGCTGAACCTCTGACATCAGCAAGTAAAAAAAAAACTGGGCTTTTTTTTTTTATTCATATCTCGTCAGATGACGTACACACTGGGGGAATCGGTTTTAGCAAACTAACCACTCAGCCATGTATGGGGGCAACTGCTCCTCCCCGCATTACCTTTCTGCTCGCTGTGGCCAGATTGTGGTATCACTTGAACCAACCAGTCAGCATGTGGAGTAATACTTCTTCCTACTCTAAGCATAACTTAAATGCCCACACTATCCCCCACAACGTTTCACTTGAACATCCATGAACTGCTTAATACTCAGTCTAAATGTAATGCCTAGTGTGAATGCAACGGTTGATGTGAACAAAATGCCACGTAAATCTAATGCCCAGTGTAAGCTTAACACTCCACATAGATCCAACACCCAGCGTGAACGCAATGCCTGTTGAGGCCATCAGACTGGATATAAAGACCAACGTGAACGCGTGTCAAGTGGAAATGCAGTGAGCATCTCGGTAATGTTCACATCAGGCACTATATTGAGCCATGAGCTTTCAAAAGGACACTACATGGCAAAACGATTTTTCTCATATTAGTAAAAAAATACTATTTTACGATACCAAAAGCATTATGCTTGCTGCTAGAAGACACGCGGAAAGAAAGTGTGGCTGGTGGTGCCACCTTTGCAGTTCTGGCACCAGTTGTCGGGATGTCATACATTTTAACGGAGACCAGTAAGGCCATAGAGTTTCCTAAATATACACTAGAGAAAACTCTGGCGCTAGTCTCTATGGGAGCTGCAACCCATAGCGCTTCAGCGAGCATGAGAATTGTGGGTATGACATAGATTTGCCTAGTCTTCGTACTTTACGTTCCTTCAGGCTTCGTGTGGCTTGAAGCTGCTTGGTCACGAAACAACAATTGGCAAATGTTCGGTGGTCACGCTTCACCACCTTAACCTTTAGGCTTACCACTTCAAATCTGGTCACGAAGCAAAAAACGGTGTGTTCTTTCCTTCGAAACAAAACCAAAACGCAGCAATAAACGAAGCCACAAGTGTGTTCATCGCCCGAAAGCATGAAGGCTAGGCAAATTCGTGTCATACCCATAATTCCCATGGTCACTGTATGATCGCAGCGCCAGTGTTCCATCTAGTTAATTTTACGAAACTCTATGACTAGGGCCTCCATGGTTCCTAATCAGTGCAAATGAAGTAAATTTTTTTCTTTTGAGGGAGCCATAGGCTAGACGTTTTTCAAACAATTTCGTTCCCTCAATATCGCCGTAATACGAAAAAATACGCGTCGAAATCTGTGACGTCTCACGCGGACATTTTGCCACGAAGTCTAAAAATGAGACTTCAACCTCGATTTGCTCCTCTAATTATAAACCTATGATAGCGAAGTGTTTAAGAGTGCAGTTTATCAATCTAAACTGATTCACTGTTTTGCCTCTAAGTGAAACCTCATTCCTCAGTGCGGGGTTAATCTGGCCGAAGGTTTGTGGACCATTATAGGAGTGCTGGTTTGATTATCTTGCCCCATCACTGTGCAGCAGCAGCAGCTGCAGGAGCGTCCTCCCTTGCTGCGCCAGAGGATTCTCGAGCTGCCCCTGCCGCCTCGGCTCAAGACGTACCTGAATTTCGACCGCCAGCTCTGATTGACCGCGGCTATCCGTGACGGCATTCATCCGCAACCCATGCAATGGGGGTGTCACCCACGTGTCGCGCCACGGTGGCGACTGTCCGAGCACTTTAAAAGCCAGGACGACTTGTCTCCCGTCTTTATCCTAATGCTCCGGGAGCTCAGTTGTGGAGAGCGGCGAGAGCGCACTCGTCTGTGCTTAGAAAACTTCTCCTTGGTGCAGTGACGGCCTTTCCTCCGAGTCGGATGCTCTGACGGAGGCCCATGCTGGTCGCGCTTCCAAGTCAGCGTCGAGAAGTCTGCTTTTTTGTGATGGTGGTGTTCCGAGAACATAACGTGCCGTAACTGTTACGGGTTGGTCAGGTTGGCTGATCTCATACGAAATGTGTGCTCGGTGCTTAGCGAGCACTTTACCGAAGCGTTTTATTAGCCATTAGTAGAGTCTTTTTTTAAATGGTACGTACAGCCGTATCCTCTTGCTCTCTAATAGCGGGAGGTGTGTGTCGAAGAACATGCACTTTTGTGATGAAGATGTGTGCTGTGGCTTGTTTTGTTTCATGCTTGGCATGCTGCTGTCTTTAAGCCATGTGGCTTTGTTTGCAGTGCAGAATCTGCTGCTTTGAAGGAGTACTGTATGCATACAAAAGGTTCTTTAAATTCTCTAGTACAAAAATCAGGCACTGCAGGGTGTTCCGTGTTTGCATGCGGCTGCGTGGACCAAGCACTTCACGGCAGAGTGTGCTCTGCTGTCGCAAAGCCACCCTTCAAAACCTGGGCAGCAACTGGTGGCATAAGTAATCATTTCTGGAGTTTCACCTCATGCTTAAAGTTGGGCTGGTTTGCTTTGACAGCGGTTTTAGCTGTCTGATGTGCTCTTGACAGGTTACATTTGCACGCAGTTTCTCTTTTTCTTATCCCATCATCTGGCCATGCATAGGTAAGTTATGTGCACCGAAATATTGCATAGGCTCGTGAGAGAACTAAGGTTATTATGTTTGATCAGCTTAAATGTAAAAGATGACAATACTACACATAATTTAAGTGCGTGCTTCAGAACAAAGAATAGTTCTTGATTTGTTGAATATTCTTTTTCTCCGTTGACAAGCATTGTAGGTGAACTATTGCTTTGCAATTTCAGAGCAAGCCTCAACCATGTTTGCTCATTTGCATAGTTTCTGTTTATGTTTTCCCTAGATTCATCACTTGTGCCTTGTGTTAACTTAGTTTCTCTTCCCAGGTTTCCTTTTTTTTTTTGTACACATGGAAGAAAAGTTTGAAGCGCACACTATCGTGTGTTACTTAGAGAACTCAGTGGTTATTTTGGCTGAACTACCTACTTCTTGCGCTCACCTTCTTCGCAAAACTTTGAACATTGTAACGAGTTTTGTTGATTGCCCTGCTCAAGTGCAGTACCTACCTTTTACATTTCGTCCAGAATAACTTTATCAAAAGAATGCTTTGTACGCGGCAGTGTGACAGCCCAAATATAATTCATTTCAGTGATGGAAGTGGTGGCAGCTCCTGTCAAAGGCGTACGTGCCAAGCTACAGCCATGTGCAATATGAAAGGGAACATTAGCCTTGTGTGACAATGACGCATTGCATGCTGTCAAGTATCTAGCGTATTAACTTGCAAAGAATGCTCTGCTTGAATATTTAGTGTTGCGAACATTTTCGGGCTTGGCAATCGCGCTTTGTCACTATGTCTATTTGAAGTTTATTCCATGTTCCTTTTCATATTGCTTGTGACTGTACAGCAGAGGCAGATCTAATGTGCAGAGTAATGTGATGCCACTAGTGAGTGTGCGCCTGCTCCCATTACATCATACAACCTGCCTCTGTTGGCTAGTGTTTGTAGAACTTTCTTTGCGTAAGCATGGCGTAAGCATCATCTGCGATTGGCTGTTGCCATGGCGATTTGTTTCGTCATGTCCATTACTGTCACGGTTGGCTGGGTAGGTTGCTAGCTGATGAAAGAAATGCTGCTGTACTAGAAAGATTCTACTGAGCATGACGCAGTAGACCGAACTCATATAATGAATGAATTAATTAGGGATACTTCATATAATGATGTATCACTATTTATGAAGTTAATCAAGAACAGTCTTGTCATTAGCACAGTGTAATGAATATACGGTTATTACGGATTTTCTGAATTATTGATGTCATTTTCGTGTCTGTTGTAACTTTGTCACAGCAAGATTCAACTGTAAATAGTATATAAAAGAACTGTATTGGGATACTGTACCCATTTGTGACGAAACGCTTTCTGTGTGTGAAATTTTAACCATAAATGAGCGAATGATTTTTTTTAGCCATCATAAGGCACCTTAGTGCAACACTTGACACGTTTCTCCACGAAGCTGGTTCGTGCAGTGTTGCCATCCTGCAGCTGCAGTTGCTAAGTGGCTGCAAACAAAGAAGGCACCTGCCACCCCGACGACAATGTGGCAAGCCAAGTACAAAACAGCACAAGAGATGTGTATTTTGGCCGCATGCTTCACAAGCAGTGCAGCAGAAAGAAGTGTGACGTGGCCAAAGCAAGCGACTGTGTGTGTGTGTGTGATCCATGGCCCAGATTTTCTAGCCATGAGAGGTCACCACTTTTTTTCTTCCTTGTTTGTTCGAGTTAGTGCCGAGCTGTAAATACGGCCACTTGATGGTCTCGGAGAAGCCCGACGACTAACATCCTGTATAAGCCATAATAAATGACAAACAATGAAACTGCGTGTCCATGTTTTATTCATTCCAAAACATGCATGGAGATGTTAAAGCAACGTAGCTGCATTCTAGGTTATGTAAACATTACCTAATGCTTCCAGCTCAGAAAGACGACACACTGCGTTTGAATGCGACCGCGTTAAATAGCTCGTTTCGCTGAAATTTCGCTGTCGATGGCCTCTTTTGTTGTGAGCAAAAATACGGCATTAGCTGTAAGCAAATTTTCGAGGTGGACGAAAAAACTCTCTCGGGGTTTGCGCATTCATTCACCTTAGACGACTCAAATATGAATGTCATTTTTTTCTCTCAGTTGATGTACTATAAGAGAGGAGGGTACACGAGCCATGGCTGATTGTGCCACTGCGAAGCGCCGTCTTTATTTTCTTCTCTTGAGAATGCGGCACACACATCGCTTTTCTTTGCCGCCCAAAGGAGGGCACTACGCCACCATCGTGTGGCGTTGCATGACTTGAACTCACAAATGTTTGTGATTTGTGACATCATCTCGCAATGATGGTTTCTTTATCTCATCCACCACGCCGTGAGTCTGTCGCTGCCGACAGCTCTATTTTCTGTTTTATGAGGCACATAAGGCTTTTGCCTGAATAAAGACAAGACTGGAGGGTGTTTGCTCTTTGGCTTCCTTTGCTGCACAATTTAGGTCCTCACTGAGAAGTAAAGGCAGGCTAGCGATTGGGAAAGTGATGATTGATGTGTGTACATATTGGTGTGTGTGTGTATAAATTAAGTGTAATTACAGCATATATGAACATATAATTATTATAAGGTTAGTTGTGCCATATTCATAAACTAAAGTAGGACCAACTTTAAAAACATGCACTCCACGGAATGTTCTAGCTTTCACCCGTTTGTAATTGAGCGGTACCGCGTGTACAAACACCCTAACCAATAAATAACTAACTTTAATTAGCCAGCCTTTTTATTCCCACTCGAAGCGGTAAATTGTTAACTTTGCATTATAGGCCGCCTCAAGTAGCTCTAGTTTCCAGCAGTCCTTTTGTACTGAAGTCTGTTTGCCTGTTTTTTTCCGAGAGAGAGCGAAAGCGCTCGAAATGCACCAAATATGAAATACCAGATGCACGCCCATGTGCCACTACTTGTGAGCATTGTTTGATTAATACACGGCTGTGCTTGTTCATTGTACAGGGCCTCGCGTTATTTGATGTATGTGCATCAGAAAAGGCACTGACTCATCCATCATCAAGCATGAACAAATGCTGCCATGTATCAACCACAGGATTTGGTGCACGACGCTTTCATTTTAGGCGCATTTTGTGTGCTTTGGTTTTTCACTGAAAAAATAACCACGAATATTTCAGCACAAAAGAAATGCTTCATTCTGTGGTTGTTTGAGGTGGCCTACAACCTAGTTACTGTTTCGAGCAAGAATAAGAAAAGCTGGGACACCCGGATACACATGCAAAGCTGAAAGCTTTGTTGAGGGATGAGGATGGCAGTGTTGGATCTCCCCCATATCATTGGCAGTTGATGAGCTGTAGATTTTTCAAATGCACCTCATAATTCAAGTGCCATCACAACTCAATGTAAGAGACACCTTTAAAGTCGCACAAAGGGAAACGGTGATGGTTTAAATTCACGAACTGCACTCGGAGAACTTTTGTGCCATATGTTTCACTATCATAAGTTTATTACTAGTTGACAAAATCAAGGCTGAAGTTTCATTTTTAAATTTTGCGTTAAAATATCTACATATGACATTCGTAAATTTTATAACATATTTTTCGTATTTTCGAGACATTAGCGTTATGAAATTTTCTGAAACTTCGTATGCTAGGTCTATGGCATCGACAGATGACACTGTACTTCAATTTTATCTTTTAGAAGCAGCTTAGGATGCAGTAGATGCCTTATATATGAAGGGTGGTCACGCGACCACGCAATTTTTGTGAATGAAAACATTTCACTGAAATCACTCTCACATAGTCACCTTTCAGCTCCATTTGGGGCTGCGACCTTTCTTATGGAATGACCCAGGTGCTTTTCGACAGCTGCGGAACATTTTAGCTCTGCGGGAAGCAATACAACTTGTGAACGGAGAAATTTATGCCGTCATGGTGTTTGGAGTTGGAATTGGAAGGTGGCGTCTCTGCCTGCATTTTTTTTCGCACGTTTTCTCGCCGAATTTTGTGACTCGGTACAAGTGGAGTTTTCAGAATTGTGAAATAGTTCTTTACTAACACACGAAAAATCGTTTTGCTCTTTAGTGCCGCTTTAAGTTTTAGACACTGATGCACTTTGCCGCATGACTTCAATGTGATGGCATTGAGTAGCTTGTGTCTCGGGAATTCATGTTTCGCATCGGCATCATTGGTTGCGAGTGAAATATTGGCATTTCCCATGAACAAAAAATCGTTGTGTGGATGTGAATAAAAACCATGCATCTGAGCAAGAATTGAAGTTTGATTTTCTGCGTGCAAGCAGGCGTTCTACCATGGAGCCATGCCGGGGCTTGAAACTGTTCCGAAAAAGAAAAACCTACACAGGTGCTGTGTAGTCTCAGAAATCATGCTGACATATTTAATGTTGTGTGGAAAAACCGTAGAATCGCACCAGATGTCGTGCTGTGCAAATTGTGCATGAAGTGGATTGTTAAAAGGCCCACACATAACAAAGTGTATAGGCATAATCAACCAGCAGCAGCAACAATGGAAGTCTGCATTTCTGAACACTTTACATTGCAAGTCAGCGTGTCTGTACACTTCTTTTTGCAATGTTTCTCACGCTAACATTCTGAAAGCCTGCATTCGTGTTTGCCTGTGTGTTGACACTGAAATTGTTAGTGTAATTAGTACACAAATAATTACTTAGTAGGGAAGGTCTACTGGACAGAGAAAATTTTTATGAATTACTATAGCTATTAGTGGTGACTTTCAGGTGAAAAAAGAGCTTTACTCGTAAAGCTCGGGATAAAACGTCAAGTGTCCACAAAGGACCCTCTGTGCTGTTGCTTATCGCCCACCTACAAAGACAGTCTACTCAGCCACCATGCTGGGTTTGCCCACCACACGAGCGAGTATGAGCGATGAAACGTCCATGCTTTTACCAGGGATTACCACAGCTAGCTTTGAATATTAGATCTAGCACTGGAGTTTGGACATTGTTGCATCATGGTCTGTGACTGGTAGTGGTCCGAATCTTTGTCTACGCCAAGGAAAGACCTGTCATCGGCCAAAGAGTACGCGTTAAGCTTCTAAGATCACACGGCTAGTGCATACTACTGCCTTTTTCTTTCCACAGTGCTGTACTATCTCATTTGATTTTTGCAAAACTCTAGTACAGTTCACACTACAGGCTTGAAGCTGCAGATATGTTTTCGAAGTAGGCACCAAAAGCACCAGTAGCTATGAGTAAGTTCACACTGACGCCACTGAAAGCACTCTTAAAACAGCAATAATCAACTTGCTTGAAATGACAAGGGCCGATTCAGTGTAATGCAAACAAAAAAAGCTTTAATCAATAGTGAAGCGATACAAACATATCACAAAAGGAAAAAAAAAAAAGAACAATGAATGTTCGTTGTATGTACAATATGTCTACAAAACTGCTACACAAGATTTATAAGGCTTCGCAAATAACTGTGTCTGTGTATGGGAATTTAGGCATATTCAAGCACAACAGTTTCCAATAGCATTCAGAAATCTTGTGAATGCTATAAAAACTTGTTTCTGGGCTAGTGGCTATTTCAAAGTTATTTGAGCCCGAACATATGGCTTGATCACGCATGCACACGCCCATGCACCAAACATATACAATGATCATACAAGACTAGCATTGTAAGTGTCTGGTGCATGGGTGTGTGCATGTGTGAATGTGCCGCGTGTTTGCTCTCAAATAATTTTTGAAAACACAAGAATGCAACGCAGTGCATGTTACAAATCGCCTACGTAGAAGAATATTGAAAGTGATTAATGCACGCAGTACATTTCTAAGTATAACATCCAACAACACGCTTGTGCACACTAAAACTATGCAATTAAGCTTGACAATATTCAACTAAATATAAATACTTCGAACTCAAAGATACCATATGCCTTCACGCAGCAAATGCAGCAAGTTTATTCTTGAATTGCCGATTAACTGATAAAATGTGTATGCAGCCATCTAATAAAATCATGAACTGGAACCCATTGAAGAAGCCACACATACACAGTCGCATTTCAACGCTTTGAGCACATGGAAGTAAACTTGAGCCTCGTTATAACAAATTCAAACCTGTCATGCAAATACTTCATTTTAAATGTATATTCTTAACACTGCATCTACAACAAAACTATTATTCACTCACTTAGTTACAACAGATAGTTTGTTATATCGCGGTTTGAGTGTTTTGCCATTCGATATGCAATACTGTACATATGTTACTGCACATGATTACAGTATGCTGAAATTTTTCATCATAAGAAAAAAAAATGTTCATTGCACATTGCTGTGTTGCAGCTTCACAAACAAAAGCACAGTTACCAAGAAAAGCTCACACTTGTCCAAGTCATTACTGAGCATTCCAAAGGTAAAGGCATTTTATAACAGCCGCTGCAAGATCTCAACTCCTTGGGTTCATCTTTAACACGCTGTGTACATTCGAAATGAGTGAAATATAACGCAGTGATCCAAGTGCACGTGCACATACTATACATATAAGGTGCATTTTTCTTAAGAATTCACAGAGTTTTTAGAGATCGCAAGTGGGAACAGCACATTTCCACTCCTGGAGCTGAATTGCCCAAAGATATGGACACTACTTACACGATAAATTAGATAATATTGTCAGTAATAAAGGATGGAGAACAAGAGACAACACCCGTTTCTCGGGCAAGCTGTTCTTATTCTAGCTTCGTCTTCTCTTCGCCCAGCTAGCTCCTTGTGCAGTGGAGCCCCGATGCTGCTGCTGTTAGTTATCACAATATGTAGGATTTTACGTCCCAAATTTCGACTGTCTTGTATTCTTTAACGTGCAGTTCTAC